ATTCGTCATCAATCACGCCATCCTGGCTAGTACAACCGGCACTTTGTACCTACCAAATCCTGATAAAAACTTCCGGCTGTACTAGCCAGGATGGCGTGCCCTGACGTGAGCGAGTTAAAATTTTCGTGGACGTCAAACAATAAGGGAAACGACTAGAGTTACGCTTCTGGTATAACTTCCTATTCTGTGGTGTGAATTAAACAAGTCACATATTATTGTTTTTGTTTGTGGAAACACCACGTAAATTTATTACTGCAAAGCTTTCGATCCGTAAGCCCGGATCTTCATCAGTGCTAATAATATGTGACTTATTTAATTCACACGCTCTTTTTATATACAAAAGTGTCGTGATCTGTTGGCTCGCGTCATTTGAAATTTAATTAAACGGCACATCAACCACGTCATTTCAAAAACAAAACAAAAACAATTATATTTTATCGCCATGCAAACATTCAAAGAACTTAAGTCACATATTATTAGCACAGAATAGAAAATAGACCAGAAGCCTCACTCAGCCAAAATTGTGTCCGAGATTTTTTATGCGCAAGCGCGAGCCAGCAAGTGTAATCACGACGCCATCAAACACGAGCAACGCCATCAATTGCCATCACTAGGTAATAAAGATTGCTGTTTTAACCGTTTTTAAATGCCACAGGTCCAAATAATGGGTCATCGCAACAGGAAGACACAACGTAAAAAACAAAAGCGTAAAATATTTGCACAATAATTGCAGAATATGCAGCGTACACTTTGAGCATGTTTTTCGAATTTCAAGAAAAACCGTTGATTTGAGGAATTGACGCTGACGAACGCTGACGTGATGTTCGCAGCAAGTGTCACACCACAGAATAGATACAGGACCAGAAGTGTCACTCAGACGATATTTTGTCCGAAATTTTACGAGTGCTGACGTGAAAATACGCCATCATATGACGCCATCCTGGAGTGCACACGAAAGTTTTTCATAGGAAAACATAGGTACAAAGTGCCGGGTGCACTCCAGGATGGCGTCATAGCACGCAAAAAAATTTCGGACGTTTTCCTTCAGCCAAAACACATAGGAGTGACACTTCTGGTCCGGTATCTATTCTGTGGTCACACATGTCATCTAGCGTGCGCAATTCGTGATCCGCAAGGCAAAAATCGCGAACACGAAAGTGTTAAGGAAAGGTGTACAGTGAGGCTTCTGGTCTATTATATATTCTATGTTATTAGCACTGATGAAGATCCGGGCTTACGGATCGAAAGCTTTGCAGTAATAAATTTACGCGGTAATAATATTGTTGAGTTTCTGTGATCAATTTCAGGAATGTTGAAACTTGGATTAACTTAATTCATATTCTAATCCCACAAAAGTCCACGCATGTTTCACATCAAATTCGTGCATTAAGCGCCATTTTTTGCAAAAACAATCCTTTTGCACTCGGGAACTTAATTTTAAGAGAAAACAAGTGAAATTTCAATTTAATGACCAGTTTGAAATTGCTTACTTTTTATATTAAACCCCGCATATAAGAACCTACAACATGCATGGTGCTTAACAAGAAATTTGGCTAAACGGGTTCCTAATTAAACAGCTTCTTATTTTCTTGAGAATAAAGCGACTCATTTTCTGTAGGTGTGGTATATAATTTATATAAAATTATGTACAAATTATCTACAATCCATGATGCTGGAAAATTGCTTACAGTCACTATTGTATAGTATAGTTGAGATTGTCGTGTAGTATTTTTACTGAAGAATCAAACACTCAACTTATTCATAAGCTTATTGCCAAATCATTTCAACCATAATATGTCACGTGCAGTGGCTTTAAACCTGATAAAACGCTCCTAATTAGTATTCTTTATATAAAGAATACTAATAGGCAGTATCTATATTGTAGTCGTATCCTCATTAGTATTCTTTGTATAAAGCATACTAATAGGGCAGTATATCTATTGAATTTGAGCTCCACCTTTGAATTTACTATATGAGTAAATTCCTAACCTTTTCTTTCCTTAACTTTTTAAACTTTTTTTTACTTTTAAAACTCTTTTAAAACTTTTCAAAAACTTTTTTTTTGAAAATCTTGATAATCTCCCCGCCCCCTTGCGAGAAGTCGTGTCTTCTGATAAATTCAAAATGTGCCGCGAATTTATCATAATGATAAATTCGGACGTGTTTAAGAATTTACTCATATAGTAAATTCAAAGGTGGAGCTCATGTTGGTTTTATTAGAATAAAACTAATAAACTCCTGCTCGTTTATTAAACCGTACATTATATAAAATATTTGTTGTTGTGTTGATATATGGACATCTTATTTATCTGAATGACATTTTCAGGGTTCTGGGTCATTTTCATTATAGTTTGTGAAGAGCTTATTTTTTTATGCCTAAATTTTTAGTTTTGATTCTTTTTGATAAAAGCTTAGAAATTCTACCCTAAACAGATTCGTGTTTAAAGGGGCTCTGAATAGAATATTTTGGTCTAACAGGTTCTTATATTCTCGGTTCTTATATGCGGCGATTTACCTCTCTCCTCCGCAGAGGCTTCTGTTGACTTTGCATGATTACGATTAGTAGTGAGAATACACTTCTGCGGAGGAGAGAGGGATTTTACTGTACTGCTCTCATACCGTAAACCTCCGACTATAAGCCCTGGGCTTATATACTTTCGTAAGCAATTTTTGATGGGCTTATACAAGGGGGTGGGCTTATATACAGGGGGGGGGGCTAATACATGGACGATCTTTTGTGTTAGTAACAAACAAGTCAGACATAAACAAGTCAGTCATAAACAGGAAAATAAACATGTAAAACGCGCTTTGATTCACATAGTCGGCTATAAAGACAATGACAATGTTTTTAAATATCGTTCTCTGCTATATCAAAAGACAATGTCAATGTTGAATAACGTAGTGGGCTACTGGGCTTATATTCGGGGGACTTATATTCGGGGGGGGGGCTTATATTTGGAATGAGGTGAGCGTTAGTATATGTGGTGGGATTATATTCGGGGGGGGGGCTTATAGTCGGAGGTTTACAGTAGTGCCAATACTAAGAAAGCTGTGGATTGATAGCGATCAGCAACGTGAATAATACAAGGCATGCATGGATTTACTGGGGTGGGGGTGGGGGGTGTGCGCACCTCCTCTGCACCTCCCCTAGCCATGGCCATGGGAGGTGCAGGGGGTGCTATTTTTCATAATATTATTAGAGACAAAATGAGATTCAGTAATTTGAGTAATAACATGATGATAAGTGAACTGTGAACGACAATTACAATTCAAATACTGCAGTCAAGCAAGACTTTGCAGTAGTGGAACAAGTTGATATACGGGTAAAGTCACTGGAAAGCAATTGCAACGTACTCGTCCGGAAAAACTTTTTGCCTAAAAAGTTGTCAACGGGGAAGGGGGGAGGTCATTGCTCTCTCATTGCGGTCCCTAAAAAAATCGCCCCCCCTACCAGATCATGCTGAACCCATCCCTGATACAAGGAGTACTTGGACGTTCCAAGTGAAGGCTGAAAAATACAAGAAGAACTTCGACGTTTCGCACTACTGTAACTTCCCGACGAAGGACATTCGCTGGAAACGTCGAAGTTCTCCTTGTATTTTTCGGGTAGTTGTATCCCTATCAATGTCCGCAGCCTTCTGCACTGGAAAAAAAAAATGAAAATCCATAGAAGGTCGTAGAATGAAAATTGTATGGACATTTATAATTCACGAGGAAAATACAACAGAAATGAATGTTTAATCGATGTTTGTAAATCGGACAAAGATTTCTCCTGATTTACATAAACTTCAGCTTTGATTTTCTCGGCTTAGGCAATGTTTATTTTTAAAATTACTTCGCCAATGAACTCATAAGATGGACGTATATCAGACACAGATCGGCTGCTCGTGTTTTATCTAGTACTTATTGGAAATAGAAATATAGAATGGATTTTGGTTATCCATAATAATTGTATATTTCCATAGTGTGGATATAGTATCGAAATAATATGGATATACTATGGATTTAGTGGTGCAATTGCAAATTTCGTAGTATGGATTTCACTTTTTTTTTTCCAGTGCTGTACAACCTAAGTTAATTTGTATCCTCCCTGTACCCTTTTCGTTTTAGGAAGTGGAATATGTGAAACAAGAAGCCAAAGTTGTTTATTTATTGGAATGTTTAAACAAAACGTCTCCTCCAGTGAGTATACTATTGAAGAGTTTGTGTGGATGAAAATTCTGTGCGAAAACTGTATGGGTATGAGATCGCTCCGTATAGGCAACTCTTTGACAAAAGACTGGTTATTTATTATTTATTACAACTGGTTACGAATTTAAATTGTTTCTGACTGAGCTTTGAAGAGAATGGTTCCCCAGATGATAGGAGGATTCGGGGATCACTTGGCTGTACACTCCGGTAAAAATAGTAAATTCGTCCAAATTTCAAAGCAAAGATGAGAGCTTTTTGCCACAGAGTTGCCTGCGGAGGATACTAAAGCTTTACTAACATTCTTGCTATTATGCTTAGGTGTTAGTGTTTGCCTCAAAAAAATCTGATGTTGACGACATTCATGAGTACTTGTTGTTAAAAGGTGTGGAGGCAGTTGCAATTCACGGTGATAAAGGTAAATTGTCCACTTGATATGTAATTCAAAACATACTGTACTTCCGAACAGCTTGTTTATAAATTTGGAAATATTTCTTCCGAAATATTGTCAGGTCAGTAGAAGTTTCTTCTCTGACGTTTTGAAATAGATAAACTAAAACATCATGTTAAACTTAACCGAGGGTTAGCGCTCATCCCAGCAATTTCAACAAAAATACATGATTTACGGTTATACAGGCAATACAAATAACATACATTCACAGAGCAAATTGGAGGAAAGTTAGGCAGTAAAAATATAAAGAATTTCTCTTTGTGTCATCATATCATATATGATGTATCATATATCATGTACATGTTTCTGCATCTATCATATATCACATATCATGTATCATGCATCATATCATATTTCATATATCATATAGCATATAGCATATATCATATTTCATATATCATATGTTATATATCATATTTCATATATCATATATCATGGATCATGTATCTGCATGTATCATATATCATGTGTTATGTGTCACAAGTCACGTATCATGTATCACGTGTCATATATCATATTATATTATATTATACCTCACAATGAGCTTGTCCAATCAGAGAACTAAATTTGTACCACATGACCATGGTATTTTTCAGCGAATACTAAGACCTAGGCAATTTGAACCCTGGGTGTTTTACCCGGGGCCATGGTATTCGACTTCGAATACCACGCTTGAGCGGGAAATTCGACTTTTTTAAATGTAAAGTTATCAAAAGTTGTGTTTTGAAATTAAAAGTTAATTGAATGATATTTGTTCTCTACTTATTTTTGAAAGGTTCGGTATAATATACCATTTATAGACCTTTCACTCGGGGTATTCCACAAAAAATTACCCTGCGGGATGAAATATTCCTCGGGCTTCGCTCTCGGAATATTTCATCCCTCAGGGTAATTTTTTGTGGAATACCCCTCGTTTCAGGTCTATAACTGATAAATATCATATCATATATATCATATATTATATCATATATCATATCATATATCATGTCATATCATATACTCTCAATTCGCAACTCTCTTGTTATTGTATCTACCTGCACTGGTACAGATCGTTTGAGATTACAAATAAAATAACACATGCGAGGTTTTACGTGTGGATTAAAAATGAGACTGAAATACACAACGTACAAAAATTCGTAGTATTAAAGAGATATATTGTAATTAAAGCCGTAGTCCATGTATATTTACACATTACGTTATTTACTCCTGAAGTTATTAAAGTCTTTAGAGAAACCGTAAACCATCATTGACCCCCTTCCTGACACGTTTCACCCTAGCTATTGGGGACGGTCAGGGTAAGAGTGTTATTTGAGGGGAGGGGCGCGGGCATAATTGGGGGGAGGGGCTTGATGGAGAAATTACGGACCGATATCCACAAAGTTAGAGCATTGAGACGCTGCCAGAAGCATAGACTGTTTCTGGGATTTCTCCTTCGGTTATGTCGATACTCGTGTCTTGTAGCTGACTGTCAGCGCTGTCGTCCGGCTTCTCTAGTGACTGTTGGTCTGGCTCTATCTGGATCGCTACTGAACCAGAAGAAGCACTTTCATCAACGCTTTCAAATGTTACATGGAGCTCACGTCGTCCTTTGCGGGTCTTCTTTCCAAAGATGCAAAGCCTGTGGTTTTGAAATAAACAGGGTAGGCTTTAGTGAAGGTTGTGTAATGGAAATGGGGGGAAACGGAAACAAATTGGCGATTAATGAATAAATTGTAACCATGTGAGGATGGATGGATGCAACAAAGAATATCTCACCTAACAACAGCATAAAAAATAGCTCGTAAAATTACTGAGGCGATGACGCCAACAACGACACCAGCTACAAAGGATAGTTTCTCAAAATCTTTGAAGAATGTTTTGAAGAAAGTCTTGACTTTGAACCATTGACCTGAAGTGAAATCTAAAAGAAATAAATTGAAAAATTAAAACATTAATAATTGCCATAACGACATTTGAATTGACGTAACTAATCTAATTGACCTAATTCTAATGATCGATTAATTAACTTTCTGATGATGCAAACAAACATTTTTGGACACTTCTGGAAGGAGATACGAGTTCAGATTTAGTTTTACATCGTTTGCATTGATAAAGCCATTGGAAATTACGAATTGAATGCTCAGCTTAGACAAATTCAGCGTGGTGTTTCCACAAAACGTAACAGAATTTCTTGTCTAGTTGCTTACCGGCAAGGCACTGGTACCAGCGACAATCTTGCACTGTGTTGTTCAAGATTTTGTCATTTTCCAAGGTCAAAGCTGTTGAAAAAAATATAGTTATTTTCGGCACTGAACATGTCTTACTCGATTTTCTGAGTTGTAAAATTTCTGATTTAATTTTGTGAACATTGTGCAAACGCAATCAATTAATTAGCAGTTAATTATTTACGGCTTTATTTATGCACGCATCTGAAATCTTACCTCGGAATTGGCAATTTTTTCCAGCGTAGCCCTGGCTACAGATGCATAACACACCCTCAGGCGTGGCAACAGGCAATGCGTTCTCTGGGCAAACTTTCTCTGCGATACATGTATCGATATTCACGAAAAACGCAATTAAAACAACGAGTAAAAACTCGCGGGACTTCATTGTTCTAAGAACCAATTAAGTCTGATTTAATTAGTGACGACGTCGTAATTAAGTATCTCTCGCCCCGGTCCACTTTCACGGGATAACGTCATTATTTTCCCGTCAACTTAAGCCTTGGGCGAACTAGCAAACATTGTCGCAAAATTAAAACATTTGAAATTTTTTCCAATATTTCACAGTTTGCCATTCTTTGGAAACTTTTTAAGCTGCGCAAATAAATTTTTCTTTCCACGAAGTAAAAATCTTTCGAAACAAATTCAGTTTGTGAACATGGCAAGGAAACAATATTTTTGCCACAATGTTTCCTCCCTTTTATGACTTAACCTTGCTCGGACTTGATGTGATGATATCGTGTCATATATTATATATATCATCATATCATATCGTATCCTATCATATGCCATATATCATGTCATATGTCATATCATGGTATCATGGTATCATGGTATCATCTATGTATCATGGTATCATGGTATCATCTATCATGTATTATATGATATATCATGTATTATATATCATGTAACATGTATTATATGATATATCATGTATCATGTATCATGCATCATATATATTCATGTATCATGTATCATATGATATCAAGATCACGTTATATCATATCATATATCATGTCATATGTCATATCATATCATATATCATATCATATACTCTCAATTCGCGACTGTCTTCTTATTGTATCTACCTGCACTGGTACAGATCGTTTGAGATTACAAATAAAATAACACATGCGAGTTTTTACGTGCGGATTAAAAATGAGACTGAAATACACAACCTACAAAAATTCTTAGTATTAAAGAGATATATTGTAATTAAAGCCGTAGTCCATATATATTTACACATTACGTTATTTACTCCTGAAGTTATTAAAGTCTTTAGAGAAACCGTAAACCATCATTGACCCCCTTCCTGACACGTTTCACCCTAGCTATTGGGGACGGTCAGGGTAAGAGTGTTATTTGAGGGGAAGGGCGCGGGCATAATTGGGGGGAGGAGCTTGATGGAGGAATTACGGACCGATATCCACAAAGTTATAGCATTGAGACGCTGCCAGAAGCATAGACTGTTTCTGGGATTTCTCCTTCGGTTATGTCGATACTCGTATCTTGTAGCTGACTGTCAGCGCTGTCGTCCGGCTTCTCTAGTGACTGTTGGTCTGGCTCTATCTGGATCGCTACTGAACCAGAAGAAGCACTTTCATCAACGCTTTCAAATGTTACATGGAGCTCACGTCGTCCTTTGCGGGTCTTCTTTCCAAAGATGCAAAGCCTGTGGTTTTGAAATAAACAGGGTAGGCTTTAGTAAAGGTTGTGTAATGGAAATGGGGGGAAACGGAAACAAATTGGCGATTAGTGAATAAATTGTAACCATGTGAGGATGGATGGATGAAACAAAGAATATCTCACCTAACAACAGCATAAAAAATAGCTCGTAAAATTGCTGAGGCGATGACGCCAACAACGACACCAGCTACAAAGGATAGTTTCTCAAAATCTTTGAAGAATGTTCTGAAGAAAGTCTTGACTTTGAACCATTGACCTGAACTGAAATCTAAAAGAAATAAATTGCAAAATTAAAACATTAATAATTGCCATAACGACATTTGAATTGACGTAACTAATCTAATTGACCTAATTCTAATTATCGATTAATTAACTTTCTGATGATGCGAACAAAGATTTTTGGACACTTCTGGAAGGAGATACGAGTTCAGATTTAGTTTTACATCGTTTGCATTGATAAAGCCATTGGAAATTACGAATTGAATGCTCAGCTTAGACAAATTCAGCGTGGTGTTTCCACAAAACGTAACAGAATTTCTTGTCTAGTTGCTTACCGGCAAGGCACTGGTACCAGCGACAATCTTGCACTGTGTTGTTCAAGATTTTGTCATCTTCCAAGGTCAAAGCTGTTGAAAAAAATATAGTTATTTTCGGCACTGAACATGTCTTACTAGATTTTCTGAGTTGTAAAATTTCTGATTTAATTTTGTGAACATTGTGCATACGCAATCAATTAATTAGCAGTTAATTATTTGCGTCTTCATTTATGCACGCATCTGAAATCTTACCTCGGAATTGGCAATTTTTTCCAGCGTAGCCCTGGCTGCAGATGCATAACACACCCTCAGGCGTGGCAACAGGCAATGCGTTCTCTGGGCAAACTTTCTCTGCGATACATGTATCGATATTCACCAAAAACGCAATTAGAACAACGAGTAAAAACTCGCGGGACTTCATTGTTCTAAGAACCAATTAAGTCTGATTTAATTAGTGACGACGTCGTAATTAAGTATCTCTCGCCCCGGTCCACTTTCACGGGATAACGTCATTATTTTCCCGTCAACTTAAGCCTTGGGCGAACTAGCAAACATTGTCGCAAAATTAAAACATTTGAAATTTTTTCCAATATTTCACAGTTTGCCATTCTTTGGAAACTTTTTAAGCTGCGCAAATAATTTTTCTTTCCACGAATTAAAAATCTTTCGAACCAAATTCAGTTTGTGAACATGACAAGGAAACAATCTTTTTGCCACAATGTGTTCTCCCTTTTATGACCTCTGACTTGATGTGATGATATCGTATCATATTATCATATCGTATCATCACATCATCGTATATCATCATCATATCTTATATCGTATCATATCATGCCATATATCATATCTCATATCATCATATGTCATGTAATATGTCATGCCATATATCATCATGTATCATAGCATAGCATATATCATGTATCATAGCATAGCATGTATCATGTATCACATATCATGTATCATGTATCATGTTTCATCACTTTCATGTATCATATCATCATCATATCATATATCATATATCATATCATCATATATTATGTATCATGTATCATGTCATATATCATATATCTTATATAATATATGATATATCATATATCATATATCATATATCATGTATCATATCATGCCATATATCATATCATATGTCATGTAATATGTCATGTCATATATCATCATGTATCATAGCATAGCATATATCATGTATCACATATCATATATCATGTATCATGTATCGTGTATCCTATATCATATATCATATATGTATCATATATCCTATATCATATATCATGTATCATATATCATATCATATAATATCATATCATATCATATATCATATCTTATCATATCATATCATATACTCTCAATTCGCGGCTGTCTTCTTATTGTATCTACCTGCACTGGTACAGATCGTTTGAGATTACAAATAAAACAACACATGCGAGTTTTTACGTGTGGATTAAAAATGAGACTGAAATACACAACGTACAAAAATTCTTAGTATTAAAGAGATATATTGTAATTAAAGCCGTAGTCCATATATATTTACACATTACGTTATTTACTCCTGAAGTTATTAAAGTCTTTAGAGAAACCGTAAACCATTATTGACCCCCTTCCTGACACGTTTTACCCTAGCTATTGGGGACGGTCAGGGTAAGAGTGTTATTTGAGGGGAGGGGCGCGGGCATAATTGGGGGGAGGGGCTTGATGGAGGAATTACGGACCGATATCCACAAAGTTAGAGCATTGAGACGCTGCCAGAAGCATAGACTGTTTCTGGGATTTCTCCTTCGGTTATGTCGATACTCGTATCTTGTAGCTGACTGTCAGCGCTGTCGTCCGGCTTCTCTAGTGACTGTTGGTCTGGCTCTATCTGGATCGCTACTGAACCAGAAGAAGCACTTTCATCAATGCTTTCAAAGGTTACATGGAGCTCGCGTCGTCCTTTGCGGGTCTTCTTTCCAAAGATGCAAAGCCTGTGGTTTTGAAATAAACAGGGTAGGCTTTAGTGAAAGTTGTGTAATGGAAATGGGGGGAAACGGAAACAAATTGGCGATTAGTGAATAAATTGTAACCGTGTGAAGATGGATGGATGCAACAAAGAATATCTCACCTAACAACAGCATAAAAAATAGCTCGTAAAATTGCTGAGGCGATGACGCCAACAACGACACCAGCTACAAAGGATAATTTCTCAAAATCTTTGAAGAATGTTTTGAAGAAAGTCTTGACTTTGAACCATTGACCTGAACTGAAATCTAAAAGAAATAAATTGCAAAATTAAAACATTAATAATTGCCATAACGACATTTGAATTGACGTAACTAATCTAATTGACCTAATTCTAATTATCGATTAATTAACTTTCTGATGATGCGAACAAACATTTTTGGACACTTCTGGAAGGAGATACGAGTTCAGATTTAGTTTTACATCGTTTGCATTGATAAAGCCATTGGAAATTACGAATTGAATGCTCAGCTTGAACAAATTCAGCGTGGTGTTTCCACAAAACGTAACAGAATTTCTTGTCTAGTTGCTTACCGGCAAGGCACTGGTACCAGCGACAATCTTGCACTGTGTTGTTCAAGATTTTGTCATTTTCCAGGGTCAAAGCTGTTGGAAAAAAAATATAGTTATTTTCAGCACTGAACATGTCTTACTCGATTTTCTGAGTTGTAAAATTTCTGATTTAATTTTGTGAACATTGTGCATATGAATCAATTAATTAGCAGTTAATTATTTGCGTCTTCATTTATGCACGCATCTGAAAACTTACCTCGGAATTGGCAATTTTTTCCAGCGTAGCTCTGGCTGCAGATGCATAACACACCCTCAGGCGTGGCAACAGGCAATGCGTTCTCTGGGCAAACTTTCTCTGCGATACATGTATCGATATTCACCAAAAACGCAATTAGAACAACGAGTAAAAACTCGCGGGACTTCATTGTTCTAAGCAACAATTAAGTCTGATTTAATTAGTGACGACGTCGTAATTAAGTATCTCTCGCCCCGGTCCACTTTCACGGGATAACGTCATTATTTTCGCGTCAACTTAAGCTTTGGGCGAACTAGCAAACATTGACGCGAAATTAAAACATTTGAATTTTTTTTTCAATATTTCACAGTTTGCCTACTTTTGGAAACTTTTTAAGCTGCGGAAACAAATTTTTATTTCCACGAAGTAAAAATGTTTCGAAACAAATTCAGTTTGTGAACATGACAAGGAAACAATCTTTTTGCCATAATGTTTCCTCCCTTTTATGACTAAGCGAATCCATTTTGGGATTAGATGACCTATGATAATAATAATCTTTATTTTAACAGGTTGACTCTTTCAGTTGAAAGCAGCTGTTATAAATAGAGGACCTGTGTGCATATAGAGCGTTTGCACTCATTCCCCCTCAGGCATCAGGGACTATTATAACTCAACAAAAGCCATGGCGGCCATGTTGGTGTTCTACGTCATGTGGAAACACTCTATAATTTCTGCTTGAAATTTCCATGTACAAAAACTCTTGAAGTGTTAGTTCTGTCGAGTGCATCAGATGGCCAAAAAAGTCTTGATTAATCCTTTACCCTTTTCTTTTAGATCAAGAAGAACGTGAGAGATCTGTATCTGCTTTTCGCGAAGGACGTAAAGATGTCCTTGTGGCCACAGATATTGCTTCGAAAGGTCTTGACTTTCCAAATATTGTTCATGTTATTAACTACGATATGCCTGAAGATATTGAAAATTACGGTAAGAAATTGGAAGTTCAGCTCGAGCACTTGTCCCATACCTACTTTTTATCCTTGCCTTGCCTTACAGTCCTGTTCCTCCAACCGAATGACAATAATCCATAATCTTCTATGTTCTTCTTTGTTTTCTTCTTTGTTTTCATCTTCTTTGTTTTCTTCTTTGTTTTTTTTGTTTAAAGTCTGCTATGTTTTTTTCTTTGTTTTGTTTTTTGGGTGTTTTTTTTTCTTTATATGTTTTCTTCTTTGTTTTCTTTGTTTTTAGTCTTCTATGTTTTTTCTTTGTTTTTGTTTTTTGGGTGTTTTTTTTTCTTCTATGTTTTCTTCTTTGTTTTTAGTCTTCTATGTTTTCAAAAACTCTTTGTTTTGTTTTTTGGGTGTTTTTTTTTTCTTTATATGTTTTCTTCTTTGTTTTCTTTGTTTTTAGTCTTCTATGTTTTTTCTTTGTTTTTGTTTTTTGGGTGTTTTTTTTTCTTCTATGTTTTCTTCTTTGTTTTTAGTCTTCTATGTTTTCAAAAACTCTTTGTTTTGTTTTTTGGGTGTTTTTTTTTTCTTTATATGTTTTCTTCTTTGTTTTCTTTGTTTTTAGTCTTCTATGTTTTTTCTTTGTTTTTGTTTTTTGGGTGTTTTTTTTTCTTCTATGTTTTCTTCTTTGTTTTTAGTCTTCTATGTTTTTAAAAACTCTTTGTTTTGTTTTTTGGGTGTTTTTTTTTCTTCTATGTTTTCTTCTTTGTTTTTAGTCTTCTATGTTTTTAAAAACTCTTTGTTTTGTTTTTTGGGTGTTTTTTTTCTTCTATGTTTTCTTCTTTGTTTTCTTTGTTTTTAGTCTTCTGTCTTTTTTCTTTGTTTTGTTTTTTGGGTGTTTTTAGTCTTCTATGTTTTTTTTCTTTGTTTTGTTTTTTGGGTGTTTTTTTCTTCTATGTTTTTTCTTCGTTTTCAATCTCCTATATTTTTTTCTTTGGTTTCTTCGTCTTTGTTTTCTTCTGTGAGCTAGGTACTTAATTGTTCCACGAAGATCCCCATTACGGTAAAACGCCTGGGGCCGGTTATTCAAAGGTGGATTAGGATTAGTGCTAACCCTGGGTTAAAATTTAACCTGCTGTTTTAATTTATATTTCTGTACGTCTGTTTATTTCAAAACGTCATAGAACTGATAGAAGTAAACTCCTATTGAGCCAGACAAGATTTCTGAAGAAATATTTTCAAATTTATGGACAAGCTGTTGGGAAGTCTGCTCTGAATTTTAGGTCAACCAAGGGTTCAGCTAATCGACTTTAGCAAAACTGGCCCCAGTTAAACAATGTAGTCGCAGACTTGCATGTTATACAGCCTTTTCATAAATGGCTGCCGATTACAAATTCTTTTATGTGCATATAAATTGGCCCAACTAGCCTCGCTTCTGGGTAGAAATTCCTTTGAAATCTTAACATGAGTACGAGGCTAGTTGGGCCAATTTATATGCAAATAAAAGAATTTTTAATCGGCAGCCGTTTATGAAAAGGGTGTATGTATTTTGTAGTTCACAGAATAGGTCGTACTGGTCGTAGTGGGAAAACAGGAACAGCGACAACTTTCATTAATAAATCTTGTGGTAAGTCAGTTCATTTTGAGAGAAGAATAATGCCACACTGCAAAACATGTTGACTCAAAATCTTTTGTCTCAAAATTTTGAGTAAAATCACTCAAATTTATGAGCAAATTTACGTGTAAACAAAATATTGTCGTTGAGTAATTTTGAAATTTGCTCATTAATTTTAGTAATCTTACTTTCAATCGTTGTGGGTTCATTATTTTACTGAGTCAAAAATACAAAATACTGGGGGATTTTTCGCAGTGCAGGATTTAGATGGTTAACCCTTGCTTCATATGGGGTGGTGAACCAGAGTGAGAAAATGTTGATATTCTTTCACTATATATACTGCAGTAATCTTCTATTGGATGGCAAATTTATTTCGCTTGCTTCTTCTATACGTGTTCACAGTTTTGAGGTTGACTAACACTCCTGTTGCCCCACAACGCTTATTGAAATCCAGCAATAGAGATTGAAAATGTTCATAAATGCTTCCCGTTTTCCGTCAGATGAATCCGTGTTGCTGGATCTGAAACATTTATTGGCCGAAGCTAAACAGAAGATTCCGTCATTTTTGGCCGCATTGGAACCAGAAAACGAAGAACTACTTAATGTTGGTGGTGAGTAGCAACTTTAATTTTTTTTACTGTTTGGGCTGGTTTATACTCTGGGTTTTAGATTAACCTAATGGACGACTTGCGCTTTAGAAAATTTTTTAATCTGGGGATATATAACAAAGGATATTTTCGGAAAGAAGTTATCAAAATTAGAAAAACTGCAAAGTTTGGTTGCGAAATGTTGTAAAATACGGAAAATACAGTCCTGCGAAGTTGGCAAATTTGTATACGTTTCTATTACGTGCGGAAATTGGTAACTAATTTAGTTACCAATTCACGTAGTACGTAATACAAAAGTATACAAATTTGCCAACTTTGAAGGGCTATATTTTCCGTATTTTACAACATTTCGCAAGCAAACTTTGTAATACTACTAATTCCAAGACGCTCTTTCGAGCTGTGGTGATAGATTTCGTTGTTCTTACTTAGATTAAAATTTAGTCTAAAGCGCAAGTCGTCCATTTGGAGACACCCGTTATGGTACAGCAGCCCATCAAGCCCGGGCTACGCTCATAAGAAGCCAGACCATTCGGAACTGGACACAAACTCGTCATGTAATATTTCAAATCCGACTATGAGGACTGGACTAGATTTCAAGTCCAAGCCATTTGATAAAGCCTGGTTTCCATTAAATCGTAATTATCGCAAGAACCGCATCGCAAGCGTCGCAACGATTTTAAAAACGCGAAAATTTTAATAAAAACTGCGATTTATTGGAAACTTGAGTCACACCGATCACTAAGACTCTTACGACAAAGTCGCAAAGATTGTCTTATTGCGATTTTTGTGATAGCGATGTCTGCGTTCCGCGACTATTGCGATGATTACGATTTAATGGAAACCAGGCTTAAAGTCCGAGGCGAATGACATCTCATATACGAATAAATCATTACTTAAAGTGAGGTGAATTAATTTTGATCCAGTCCTAGGACTGAATCAATATACTTCACCAGGTATCCAGTATTATCATGTGAGCAAAATAAAGAAATATGGTTGGCTAATTTACAGTACTCATGAATTAATAATGAATTTGAGATTTATTTTTCCACTGGCTCTCACTAGCTTTGTCGACGCTACACGTGTGAACGCAAGGCGTCCAAACTAAAGTATAGTTCCGAATTCATTCTGTGAGGCTGATACGATTCAAAATGCTTGCTCTTATAGAATCCTTATTTCAAGTTTTCTGTTTTAGACGAACGTGGTTGTGCATATTGTGGCGGCCTGGGTCATCGTATCACTGACTGTCCGAAACTTGAAGCAAAACAGATCAAGGAAACTGGAAATATCGGTCGAAAGGATTATTTAGCACCAGGGGCAGCTGATTGGTAGTCCCTCGTGTACAGCTTTCGTGCAGGCAACATCATAGGGATGGACACCATGACGACAATGCTCGACTGTGCCCGCATGTGTCAGGTTTATAGCTTTAGTGCAGGCACAGACGTCATTGATGGACTGCTGACAGCCAATTTAATTTCCCCCAAACATTGTCAATTGGCAATTTGTCATTGTTTGTCTATCACTACCTATGGATATCAAAGACAACTGAACACGTGTGAGCATTACTGCATGTGAGCATTTATAGAGTAATACTGTTTCTGCATCTATTCATGAGAAGGCAGGAATATGTCAGTCTCATATACCAGCTTCCACAGGGACAGCATGACTCCATTCTGTCAGACGGTTCAAAGGAGTTTTGGCCAGATTTTAATGGTTGATTCGTACAATGACGTCGGCTGGAAATATGTTGTTGTATATCTTTTGACTAAATAGAAGCTTCACTTGTAAGTGTATGAACAATTAAATTTAACTGTTATGTCAGGTAAATAAATTTCATGCAGAACGAATGAAGAAATCAGACATAGTATTACAGTGCGGTGCCTGGAGCATGCGCAAAACAAGTGCACCACAAGCGCGAAGACATATTATTTTTGAATAAATACCAAATCTGATGATTCCAAACAAACAAACAAGCTCATACATCGTATACAAAGCGATGCCAAACTTCGTTTGGGCACCGCCGTATGGCCCGTATCAGTTGTTTTTATTCTGGAAAACAGCAGTCCAACGTACTTTTTCACTAGTATGGAAAATGCTCACGGATAAAAATATCGTATAGGTTTAATCCCGTATAGCCACATCCCGTATACATTTAATCAAAATGGCGCGGACTTTTGTTTGTTTTGAAAAGTAAATATTTTTAATACTGTTTTATTTAAATTTTTAATGGAAAATCCTTAAATCGGTTTTTGGAATGTCTGCTGGGAGGCGTCGTTTGGAAAATGCTATTCAAATTGGAAGAGAAATCGACTCCCGTCTGGATGAAAGGTGTGTAGAAAATATTTTGGTGTCAAAGTATGTATGAAACATCTTCTCAATATTAAAACATAATCCGAATAACCAAGTAAACAAACATTTTTTTGTCATGTTAAATGTTAAGCGATTCCTCGTCGGGTTTAAGTAAAATCTCAAGCGTTCAGGACATCGATTTCGGTGATATTGGTGGAGCATTTTGCATCAATTTCTCGTCAGATGACCAGTATTTTGCTGTGGGATGTGGAAACAGTGCTATACAGGTATATTATACAACAAAGATAGGTAGTTGTCAGGGGAGACAATAGAGATTAATGCTGACTGAAAGGTTTTTGGGGAATTGCATGCTGAAAATAATATAGTCAATATTATAGAGCAGGGTTGCAGGAACAAATGAGTTCAGGGTAGCTGTTGTCTTGGTAACAAGCTTCCCCTGACAACTTTTCAAATTTTGATGATCTTGGCCGGTCTCTGCAATTCCAACAAAACACTTAAGATTAATAGCCATCATAACTACTTCACTGAGTTGTTACTATCAAGTTGCGCTTATGCACCAATCAATGTTATGCCCGACCCTAGGGAGGGCAGGCAAGCCCAGGGGCATTTGACATTTTCAATTTTTTTGTGTCAATAATCCCCACTATGAAGCAGCACTTTGTGGTCAATCGTTGTCAAATGCCCCCACCCCTGAGTTAGAAGAAAACTACAAAGACGTTATAACCTGCTCAAACAGTTTATTTATATTTATAATATAGCATTTGTAAGCTATAAATTGGCTAAGAGCCATGTTGATATAACTCGATATAAAACACAGAAATTTCCTGTCGCTCTTGGATTCACTTGTAATCATTATTTTCTCCTTTCTTATCATTTATTTCCTAGTCTATTAAATTATGTATTAAAAGCAAAAGTTAACAAGATTTTATTTTAAAAAGCTGCAAATGAAGTGACACTATTTATGAATTCACCTTGCAATTTTCCTGAAATACGCCATGTTGGCCGCGCTTACTGAAAATGATAGGAGACTGGTAACAAGAATGTCAAAATGCCCGACCCTGGGGAGCTTCCTTGGTGTCAAATAAAATAAAATCTCCAACTCAGAAGCAGGGAAATTAGGTCAATTCCCTGTGTATCCCCGCCCTCCATAGGGTCAGGCATAACATTGATTGGTGCATTATAGCTCCTTGGTGCTTTTGTCATGAGAGCAAGTGTCTTTCATCTCGGATCATGAGTTAATAAGAGCTCCAGACTCATGTCACCAATGTGAAAAGTTGGTTTTCTTCAGTACTCTGGTTTCCCTCACAGGGAGTGTTCACAGGGTGGGGTGGGATTAATCCCAAACTTACCCTTCCATTGCAGCTGTACTCCATGATCAGACATGATTGGTATTAAAGGCACCCTTAGTAAGCATTTGACTGATTCTGGTTCAGCTGTGTCCTTATACCTTATTCAGCTCAGCTCTCAGATATAAATAAGGACAATTAGAAGACCCCCACCTTGTTACTGTTAGTTGCTATATACCATTTTAACATTCAGGTGTATTCTGTGAAGCAAGGGAAAAAACGACGACCATTACGTCATGGATCGAATTTTGGTCTTCCTGTTACCTGTGCGAAGTTTTATCCATTTAATTCCAACTTTCTTGTAACTACAGGTATAAATTCTTCTGCACAGTTCAATGTGTCTACATGCATGATTGAATAGTTTGTTTTAATGATGCATAGACAAACTATCAGAAAAGTATGAGGCAGGGGTGGAAAATTGTATTTTTTTAGTTGAGAGTTTTGCAGAAAATTTTCCAGAAAATATTTCAACATTTTGAGATAACTCTGTTTACTCAACTTACAAGTTACAACTATTCTACTTTAGTTACACTTACAAGTTACAACTATTCTACTTTATTTACACAAATTAATTCTTTTACCCACCCCTGCCATCACAATGAGGTAAAATGGTAAATATATGCTCTGCAAAGTCTCCAATAAAATGCAAATTAAATAGTAAACAAATAAAAGTGATGGAATAAATAAGATGACAGGACACTTAGTTAAGCATTAGATCCTTACTAGTTGGTCATAATTCATAACTGTGGTATATAACAGACAACTATTGCAATGTACGAGCATATGAAAACCAGCCTAAAGCCTATTATTACTAAAGTACAAATAATACAATAATTATGCATTTGTTTTCTATTTTTGTTTTCTAGCCTTCGACCCAGGTTCCCAGATAGAAAAATTTTTTTTCCACCCCTGGCCAGAGCAATCAACAGTATATACAGATCATGCTTTTATATACAGATCATGCATGCTGTAGATCATGCTTTTTTATAAAAGTTTAAACCCATTTATGTGTTAAGCTGGACTTACACGAGCAACAAAATTGCTGCAACTTGCAACAAAATCTGATGTCATTGCATGTTAAGTAGAAATGTCAACACATGCCCAGGTTGACAATCTTGCCAAGATCCCAGCAAGATCTTACCCAAGATCTTACCAAGATCCTGCCAAGATCTTACATAAATCCTGCAAGATTATGGAAGGATCTTGCAGGATCCTGCAAGATCTTTCCAAGTTCTTACAGGATCTTACCTAAGATCTTGCAGGATCTTGCCATGATCCTGCAAGATCTTACCAAAAATCCTGCAAGATCTTGCCAAGATCTTCAACCTGGGTGTTGCCTTGTGATTTGTCATTTATGTGTAAACATTTTCAATTAACATGCGTTGAAATCAGATTTTGTTGCAAGTTGCAGCAATTTTGTTGCTTGTGTAACTCCACCAACAAAATCCCCACATGACAAATCCCTGTCGAAAAAAATCCCCCAATTACCGAATTCAGACAAAAACCCCACACGTGACACATCTACTGTATGTCAGAGTTGTTATTTTGCCATTAGCCATTCCGAAGTTGATGAGTGGACTGGGGACGAGTGTTAAAAAGTGCCCAAATTAAGAAATGAACTAAATCACTAAAAAGACCACCTCAAAATTAGTATAAGTATACAAAGTTTGAAGACGTTTACATGAATACTATTCGAATAATAAGCTTTCGAAAATTGTGAAATTACTGATTAAGAGATTGTTTTTGGGACGCGCGTCCCAAAAACACAAATTACGATACATTTCATAGTAAATATCGCGATTTTCGAAAGCTTATTATTCGAGGGGTATTCATGTTAACGTCTTCAAACTTTGTATACTTACTAATTTTGAGGTGGTCTTTTTAGTGATTTGGTTCATTTCTTAATTTGGGCAATTTTTAACATTCGTCCCCAGTCCACTTCGGAATGGCTAATTGCAGGAAAGTGCAGTCCTCTTGGAGCATTCCCACCGCTTAGTACTGGAACTGGTAGACTTCTTTGTATACATATGTATGACCATTGTAACATGACGTTTCACCTCCTTTGTTGCTTCCAATGATTACCGTCAGTATTATTACCTTCAGGTTGTGACTCACTTGTTAGAAATGTGCTTTTTTACGAAATGCTTTTGAGAGTTATCCATGCATTTTGCTTTTGTTATGAATTGCTTTTGTCATTGGCCCACGCGGACTGTTCTTCATCCACGCATTTTTTTTTGTTTTTGATTGCTTTTGTCACTGGCCCACGCGTATCGTTCTTTTGACCACGCGGAATGCTATTGTGAGTCATTGCTCATTGAAATCTCGACGTTTTGAGCACGTACTGCGAGCAAATCAAGCAATTAAAAAACTTTCCTCATTTTTAAAATATTTTGTCTGAATTCAGTGATTTGGGGGGTTTTGTCGTCGGAGATTTTGTTATGTGGGGTTTTTGGTCGGTAACCCGCATAATTACTTAGTAAATTACGTAATTACTGTATGCTAAATTCACTATCGTAACACTACTGTGTCCTCAGTAATTTTTCCTATTAGAATCTCAAGGTGACATCACGATCTGGGATTTAACTGAATGGACACAGCGAAGAAAGATTTATGAAAAAGGAAACGAGATTCAGACAATGGACTTCTCGCATGATGGAAAGATTTTTGCAACAGCAGGAAAGGTAAAAAATCATGCTAATAGTAAGGGTTTTTCTTCTCTCACTTAACTAACTAACCCTTGAGAACTTTTGTCAATTTGGTTCTGAAACCGGTTTTCCGTAGACCAATAAACTCTAGCCTATCCTAAACGTTTTTTCACAACAGGACAGAACTGTACGTATTTATGACAGTGATCGTTTGGACATCATTAAAGATTTTCCTGGAACTGGAATTTTGGATGAAGACACGTGAGTAGTACAGATTTTTTTTCTCAGAAAGACACAATATGATACAAAGTTCATCATGCAAGTTTCTTTTTATCACCAGATCAGAACTCACGGAATTTGGTCATGGACGAAAAGTGTTTGCTTTGAAGTTTCATCCGTTTGATGACAATGTGTTCATTACTGGTGGATGGGATAAGTGTATAAAGGTAACATATTGTTTCTTTCTTAATTTCTGTTTAAAGAGTTGACATTTTGGCAGAAATATTGGATGATACAACGTTTCTTCAAAAATAACATTATATAAAAATAACGAGTTTTGAATGAAAACTAGTTATCTCGAGTAGGAATGTTCGGTATGAGAAATTTCCGGTATCGGTATACCGAAAAAATTATACCGATATTATCGGTATACCGGTTTTCCTTTGATAATTATAAAGGAAAATTCTTTAATGGAAATTTTAAGGAAATTTTGAGTAATTCTAAAAGGGAAAACGATAATTTCGAAGCTGTTTCGAACATGTTTCGAACGACACGTACTTAGTGTAAAATCTCACTGAAGTGGAAATTCTAAATCATTGCAGTAGAAAGTTCTTTGAATTGCCATTCAGTAGTAAAAAATAAAGGTTATGGTTTCGCCATATAGTTGGTAAATTTAACACGGTATACCGAAAAATTCCGGTATATCGGAAATTTCGGTATATCGGTATGGTTGAATATCCGGTATCGATATACCGATATTGATTTTAATACCGATATTTTCGGTATATCGGTATACCGAACAGTCCTAATCTCAAGCGGAATTTGAACTCGCATCTGCAAGTTCCTGACAACCGCTCTGCGGATTGAGCTATCAAGTCAACGGGGATTAGATCCCAAAACATTTCAGCGCCTCCTTCCTTTTCGGTGGCAAATGCTCGAAAAATACCGATTTGGAACTGTATAGTTTATACTGTCTGATAATCACGTGGTATATATGGATGACTAACTAATCATCTCATGCATAAATGTTCAGATTATATGGTATTGTGAGGGGAAAATCCCAGTGAGAATAATACAGACAAGTTCCTTGGAAAGTTTTCTCAAGATTGCAGGTATCATGGTGTCACACAATGACGTCATTTGACGTCATAACAAAAATGCTACTTTTGCTTAAGGTGTGGGATATACGCAGTGCACATTCAGTAAGAACGATATGGGGTCCCTACATCTGTGGAGATGCCTTGGATATGTGCGTGGATAACATTCTTACTGGATCTTGGGTCGCTGATAACGCATTACAGGCAGGTTTTCAAGATGCATTTACACTATATCTTGGAGTGATTTAAAAACTGATCTAGTTTAGATTTGTTATTGGTATCTGACCGCCTCAATGGAATTTGACAGTTGATAGTTGATGGAACTGTATTAAAGTTAAAAGAGTGTACATGATAGCAGGGCTGCAAATTACTGTCGGACATCGGACAATGTCCGACTAAATTTGGCAAATGTCCGAGCAAAAGTAATTTTGATCGGACATTGGTCAGATCACAAAAAAAAATTGTCACATTATACATTTTTTTGCTGTGACAAAATCCGATTGCAAATGGAGGCATTCTGTAGCATTTTACTTAACGTTGCGCCGAAATGGCTATACATACTTGTCTCGTGACTTATATATATCTTGTGACGTATATATATGTCCGACCAAAATTTAGTGGTGTTGGTTTTTGTCCAACCAAATTCAAGTTATGTCCGACCAAAATTAAAAGTGATCGGACAAATGTCCTGTCAAGTCAAATATTTATTTGCAGCCCTGTGATAGTTGATAACTACTATTTAAAGCACGCGTAGGAGTGCTTTATCAGATATAAATCACGAGTGCGCAGCACGAGTGTTTTATATCTGATAAAGCACGACTACAAGTGTTTTAAATGAGTTCGTATGAGTTCATTGGCAAAGTAGTTTTAAAATAAACGTTGTTTAAGCCGATCGAGAAAAGCAAAGCTAAAGTTTATATAAATTAACCAGTGGCGGACAGTATAAAAGTCTGGTACCAAATATCACAATTCACAAGCATTGTTTAGGAGCAAGTGGCAAGCATTCAATCACACAACTGTACATTAAACAACAACGCTAATTGACATGAGTAATTGATTATCGTAGAAAAAGTATCTAATATCAGTCAAATGACACAACTCGGGACTCTTTATCCATTTCATCAAATGACCCATGTTCTAAAAGATTCGCATAACTTAGAGTCTTAAACGGACACCGAAACCCCTTTGGCATACATGTTGAAAATGTCGCCCCCAATACTTCGTGCCGCCACTGAAATTAATATTATTTTTCACCACATATAAAACTACCGACACGGCAGTGATACCATTGATGGACCACAGTTGTACGCATGAGAAATTTTATGACAATAAATCATTGTTTGTATTCGGTTGATAATTGATAGAAATGCATGGATGAAAACTATGTCCACAATAGACTGTAGAGTTAATGAGAGTTCACATGTATACAAGAACGATAGTTACAAGTTCATCAACTCTTCCTGAATTATATTTTGTTATCTCATTTTAGATCTGGGATTTTAAAAGTGGTGGACTTATTGAAACAGTACCGTTTCCCTCAGAGAAAGGAGCATTTCTTTACTGTGCTCGGTTCTTGAGTGAGGACTTGATAGCCGCTGGAGGGAGTGGAACTAGGGACTTGAAACTTTTATACAGAGAGACACATGAGGTTTGTTGTGGATCATAAATATGAAGTTTAATCAAACACAGCTTAAGGGACCACTGTTCAACGCCCCAATGTGTTGGGTACTGGTTTTTTCGACCTTTGTAAAAATTCATGTAAACCTAGTCATAAGCAAAGCTTTACCTTGGTCAGGGCTTTCAAATTTAGGCGTAAAAAAATATACCTGTGGTTCCGGTTCCCGACCGACCCTATTTTTTTCTGCCGACCCTATTATTTTTTCAGCGCGATTGACCGTACGACCTTATTTTCTCCAGGTGGTTGCGGGCTGCTCATACAGCATGCCAAATGGCGTCTGTTGTCACACTAATTATTGAACCAAATTGCCTAAATTCGTCCATAGGAAATACGCATCTCTAGTTAATATTGATGTCGGGACTCTACTGCAAATCGCCCAGCAAAAAAAACCCGCCAAAACCATGAAAAAAATATTCAAAAAAAAAATTTATTTCCGACCTACCGACCCTAATTTTTTCACGATATGAAACCGGAACCACACGTATTTTTTTTACGCCAAATAACCCGGCGGTCGCGGGAGCTCCGGCGGGTAGCACGAGGTTTACCGCCGGTTACTTTGATAGTACTTGAAGTATCAATTCTGCTCTCCTTCCTCCATTCTATAAGCTTTCAAACAAAGTTATTTTTGCCATCTTAAGTTTGAAGAATGAAAGTAGTGATACATTATAATTTGGTTACAGAGCTCAGTTGTGTTGCTATCAATATACACTAGTTAATTTGGATGACTTGAAGACCCCCCAGACCGCTCCCCACAGCCGCCGGCTACTTTATCAACACAGCCACCTACTCAGAATATTTGTGAAAGCCCTGCTTGGTGATCCTTGAAGATCAGCAAGGACCCTGGGCGGATCCTGAAAGAACAAATCGTATGATGACAGGATCCAGAGGCAATCCTGCCAGGACCCTAGAGATCCTTAGAGATCCTTGGTATGCTTGAGTTTTCTGTCATGGATCCTGTTCTTCAATGATCCTTGCCAGAATTTTTGTAAAATCCTGGCAGAATTCTGAAGTAAAATGTTTGAGAAAATCCTTGAGGATTTGGTTGTATCTTAATGTTTTGCAAACGAATATAAATGCAGGGTTTGAGACTTGAGTTAGAAATAGTTGTGGTTGAGCTCTCATAATTAGTGAAATATATTTGTGTGTGACATAAATATGCAACCAGAGTATGTTTCATTCCTTTCTCAGGTTGCTGGTTGTTTAGACAATGATGGTCGAACCATTCAAGCTCTGGATACTGCAGATGATGGTCATTTATTGGCAATGGGTAGTACTGGTAACCATGTACGACTGGCCAGTATTCTGTGACCATGATTCACCACAACGCGAATTGTTGTTCAACTATTACCATGCTTTATCATGGAGTGTTACGTATATGGTACTTTAAAAGATTTATTTGCAAACACATTCGTACTTTTAGAAAGATTTTATTTTTACACCCATGATTTCTTACTCTGGTTCCGAGGGTTTATTTTCCTATCGCCATTTCGCACATTATATGCAATGAAAATAACCTTCAGGAACCAGGGTAATAATTTGTATGCATGTTAGATTTTTGAAATAATATATTGTTGATGTACAGTTTTATTAATATTTTTTATTACCTAGATTATACAGAATTGAAATTAATATATTTGCGAATTAAAATACTGGGGTTTTTTGGAAGTAAGAGTTTAAGAACTCCACAATTGTGCATCCAACAGATTTCCCCCTCGTCCTCATAAAACGTTAAATCACCCCGTTAGCTAGCACGGCCAAATTTTAATCGCCCGCTGTAGACCATATTAAGGTCAGTCCGGTGCTCAACGTCATTTTCCCCCATCAAACCTCAAAGGGGTCGTGAATAATTATCAACACTTTCACAAGTACAGAGAGTACTCTTTTTCGACCCGCTCCCTCCCTCCCCCGCCCCTTCCAGAGCGTACATCTAAATTGTTGAATCACAGGAAGGATGGCGATGAGTCTATAATCAACATTTTAAAAAGCGTACATCAGCATTAACCCCCCGCCCCCGCAGCATACGGTCTGTACGCTTGTGAAAATGTTCATAATTATGGATGACCCCCACTGATGACCCCTGAGGAGCAGCAACGCGGAATTACGCAATATTTGACAGAGTACGAATTCATATCAAGAGTTGGAACAACTTTCACTAAATATTCCTTACAATCCCCTGTTACCACCCATTTGACCTTCAACTTCCTTTGCTAATATTACATCCATATCCTAATATATCGTAGAAAGCACGCAGTAGCAATACGAGTGTGAACCTCGCACATCTTTTTTCGTTCATAATTAGGGAATTGCAATAAGTAAAGCGTTTAGATATTGTTTTTCTGTCTGCAATATTTGAGACAATTTGTTTCTCGTGTTAACGACACAATTTCAATGCAGCTGTCAAATTGAATCGAGGAAATCTACCGATTAAAACCACAGCAGCGCTTTCCTACGATTGCTTTGTCTTGCTGAAATTGTTCATTTGTACCGCAGACACAGCTAATTTTAATCTGATAACTAAACAATGAAACGCCAGCGTGTTTCACGCCATTTATATTAGTGGTTAGCTAACTTTTGAATTTTATCTGCAGCACTTGGCCAAATGAACCTTTAAATTTATTCCGAAGATTACCCTATCTACTCGAAAATGAAAATGAAAATTTAATGTATTTTTTTTTTAATTCTGTTTGTATACGTCTATTTTATACGAAAGTTTATATTGTCTGGCTAAGATGTGGTTTCTTAAAATACTTGTAAGTACATATTAAGTTATTGTAATATTGACTGTTTTTTCACTACTTTTCATGCCTCAAAACTCATGAATAATAACAAGCTCTTAGCATATTTATTACAGAAAATCTGAAAACTCCTTTTAAATGAGCAGCTTGTCTCCTTTTTTGCTTGAATATTAGTAAGTTAAATTTAGTTTTTTTACCGCGGTCTTGGGTTTGATATTGCTAATTTAATAGATGAAAGCTTTTCCGGAAAGACCTCGGTAGAATTAGGTAATTTAAAATATATACACACACTGACCGATTTCGGACCTTGTGGTTTTGTAAAGATAAATAAAATAAATCACCCTTGATGTGGCAAATTACTACTCGCTGTCAGCGTTCAAACTTTAATAATGTTCCTTAGTCGGTTTCCATTCAACTTAAGACAAATGCATGTAAACCTTCCAGTTTAAAAGAAATCTGTACGACCAAGTTTTCAGGGTATATATCGTTATTAGATCCTGCGAGGATAAATCGTCTTGATGTGCCAAATTACTTTAAAATTTCTACTCGTTTTGCCTTCATAAAATTTCTTTACGTTTTGCCTTTATGAATTATTCATTTTTTAGAAACGCATGCTAATGTCAAAAATTTTGCAGTCATTTTTGGATTTTGTATATGAAATCTATTTCGATCAACTTGCTTCGAATAGGTTTCATATCATGCACCTCCGACTAAAACCAGCCCAGGGAGTAAAAAACTGTAATGATCCACTTACAATCTAAAACTCCATGTGTCCCAAAAACTTCCGAAAGTGATTGTAGCTTTAACCCAGGGTTAAAATTTAAGCCGCTGTTCCGGTTTGCGTATTTCTGCAGTCGTTCGTTATTGATAGTATTTTCATAATGCACCATTTCGATCAATTGTGTCTCGGCCCGGAAGCATTATTCTCATGCGTCGTGAGCCAATTCCCTTTGGTCTTGATTCATGAAAGCGCGGAGAAAAAATTTTTTTATGACATAATTATCAAAAAGGTGTATTAGAAGAAACATTACGTCTGAAAACAGATCTGAGCGATTTATTACCCAAACTCGAATATTTATTCAGTCTGTGAATAAGATCTCGGATATTTTAGATTACTTTTGACGTTTGCAAACAGATGTATGTTAAAATCATTCTACAGTTTTATTTGCTAATTTATTCTTATTTATTCTATACTTCACCGAAAAATTAAGATTAAATTTTTGTTGAATATGTAAGCGTTTCCATGCGTAGGCATCCTGGAACTGATTAGTGCCTCGAAAAATGAATTGACATACTTTTTGTGTTGTAATAAGGATATATATTTATATATGTATATATATTTAACCCTGTTTGTACGTTTAGTGTACCTATTTTTTAAATTAGCACAAGAGTGTCACCCTATCCGGCAGAACAAGGTGTGTCGGTGGTGTGAACAAATCCTGCTGATTCTGCGTAATTGGAAAATTAATCTTACATTGTTCTAAAAGTCTCAATATATTTATATTTTTGACGTAGTTATTCATATGGGATATGTCTTTTGAACACTGAATTGAATTTGATTGACATGAATTCAAAAAACCTGAAAAAAAATGAGGCAATCACTCATTCATTGTTTGACCACGGTTAATAGATCTAGTTCTATTAACCGTGGTTTGACCTTGTTTTATGTGCAAGATGAATATTCTTTTTTATTTTCAACAATACGTCATTGTACCGACTGCAAGGTGGAGAAGGTGGACATTGAGTACAATTTTCCATGCAAATTTCCATTCCAATTTACGCCTAATATTAAAATAGGCTTTATTTATATTTGGTTTTACAATAAAATTCCAGTAAATTTTTGAGGCTTTATGATTTGTTGTTGTTGTATAAAAATTCGAGTGAATTTCTGCGGGATAAATTGAATATTTAATAATGCTGCATTGCTGGCAAGAAAGGCCAAATATAAAAAAAATTTTACCGGCTTTGGCTACTATAAACAGACCGTGAGTATTTGTAATTGTAATACAATGATGTTTGGCTTTGAGCCAATCAGGATCGAGGAATTTTGTCTGTTATTGGAGTAGGCGGCCATCTTAGGAAGGTGGGTTTTGCTGTCGTAAGGAGCCTATTGCTCCAAAACGACTCTTCCTTAATGGAATTGGAAAATATCGTTGCGAATACAGTCTACATCAAGGCGAGGGAAAGTAAGGGACATTTTGATGGCTCTATATATCATTTTAATCCTAAATAATGTTGACATTTGATCGCAGTAAAGCTTTGGCCTTGCGTTTTATTGCCGACTGTGAGATCAATAATACAAGGCTGTGTATAAATATTTCTATATTTAATATATCCGTATAGATGTACATATAGCAAGCTCTACATCACGTTATTTAAGATTCGATCTTTATCGACGTGTTATGGACGTGCGTTTTTTTTGCAGGCAAAGCCAAAGGACGAAGTAAAAAGTGGCGTTCCTTTCTACAATTTCCTCACATATCGCTCTGTCTGCATCTCAAGAACGAACGTAAGTCACCTCACATTTGTACCGTATGCTAATGTAAATCTGTTGTGTCGATGATTAACTAACCTTTGAAATATCTTATTTTTAGTCGACCTCAGTTACCACCAAATTTACAGAGAACCTATTGGTAGAGATCTGTTTTGTGCATTTTGCGCTTCAGATTGCTTTGCAGATTGTAAACTATCTCGCTTGGACAGTTTTCTACGAGCAATAGTAAGTCGCTCTTCATTGTAAACCCCAGAGTCTACTTTGATAAATGCCATACATTTGTGCCGTGTTTATATAAAATCGTCGAACAAATCGATATACTTCTTATCAATGTGAGTTTGCAATTTTTGGAATTTCAAGTTCTCCAATGACACATAGCTATGTCTTGTTTTATATGCCTAGATTGACTATGAAACTGCAGCAGAGAGTCAACGCAAAGAACTGGCCTCCAAGCTTATTGAGGACTTTTTAAATAAAGAAAAAGTAAGTAAACTGCTGTTGACGTATTGGAAGTATGTATGTCCGTTCTGTCTGCAAATTATTAAAACATATTTAAAGAACAACTTGACTTCCTTGGCATATCTCTGTTGCCGATCTATAGTCCATCTTTATTTGTTTTTGCTTACATTTTAATTTAGACAGCTACATTCCTAAATCACGTTCAGAAGGCAAACCCTTGTATCCTGCCGGTTGAAACATAAAAGGATACAAGTATCAAACATTTATACGAAATATTTGCCCTTGTACATTTCAATGTTCGCAAGAACACGATAATAACGAATTAGAATCCTACTTTACAAATTACAGTAAGCACTCAAATGGCTTTTCGAATACAACTCTCAGCAAAAGTATATGACTGCTTTTTGGCATTTATCGTAGTTATCTCATATATTCGCTAATCCTTAAATATTTCATTTTGACATTTGACAACAGTCGCTTGGCTACATCATTACAGCGCATTGGACAATGTATTTTGAGATTTACACATTACATTGGTCTTTATCTAATTTCACTTCCTCAACTTGCTGACAAAAACGAAGGAAATATTAGCAGTTCGGCGGACTAAAAGCTTTGTCAATATTGGATGCTGAAATAACAGAACCATCATCAAGTTTTATAAACAAACTTTGTGCATGTCGTTATTGAATTCTCATGCGGTATTTTGAATTTTTTATAAATTTATTTTACGTTTTTGGTTGAGCACTGTATTTGCATTGAAAGATAAGCTCTTTGGCTACATCTATTTACTTTTTTTTCAATAAAATTCCATTTCCGATGTCTGGAAAACAAGCAAACTCGTCGCGTTCGACTTCCATGGATCTCGCTTCCGGCGTCCATGGCGTAAACTCAATAGCGGAGCCACCTACTTGTATAGCACAATAGGAAACTATAATTTATTCCCGTCCAAATCATTTTCGGATTATTCGTGTGCAATCTGGGACAATTCCTAGGCGAAAAGCGAACTCTTCAAGTAGAAATTACTATTGCCCAAGAGGTGAGGGGAAGAAAAATTGACTTGGTGTATATTTCATCAAATTTCAGGCTTCCAGATGTTGCATCTGTAGGCAGATCTAGCGCACAAATTGCCATCTGATCTGAAGGCCCACCTGTGGCTGTAGAATTTTGCCCTTATCAAACAAAACAGTGTTTTAAAATTTCCCTCCCCAATAAACGTTTCCCTAATCTACGACTATGTGTAATTTTTGAAGAATTAATTTTAGTGCACTCAATAGTATATCTTATTATATCACGTATGCACTGTTGAAAAAAATACGACTTAATTTGGATTATCTTTTCTTGAATCTAATTTTGACTTCAGCTTTTCTGATTAAAATGTTAATTTGTACGTTTGGGTGATTTATTGGGAAGTTGTGTTTATAACGGGCTCAGTATTTTAATGAGGATTCAAAGAGATTACATACATTGTGATCTTCAACTCTTGCATGGCCAAGGAATTTTTATTGAAAATTATAATAGCAAACTATGCATATTTTTTTCAAAACGAAGTTTAATTCTGTGAGTTCGAGTTTGGCCCTGTTCATATAATCATCGCTTCTAGAATTGGATAAGAAGATAAGTATAGATCGGTAGAAGATAACCAAGTTTTCGATAGAAGGGGAATGTGAGGGGGGATTGGGTGAAAGGTTTTTGCCATACCAAAATGTTGATAAATGAACTATAAACTAAGTTTGAATTATATTATGTGACATTACTTCAAGTGGCAGAGTGGCTCCACAACAAGCCAGGTGAAAATCAAGTGACTCCACAATGAGATGGCTGGCTGAAAAATGCTTGACCATTTTATTTCCTTATTTTGCTGGCAAAAATACCAGGAAGTGTTCTAGTCCAATGCTTTAATGAGGTATGAGGTCAAGTTGGTTCAAGTATGTCATATTTCAAACTGACATGACCTTGTATCCTTGTGCATTGTAGTGTACTAGCAAACCAATAAACATAGGTTAGGTATCATGGACAAGTGTAAAGCATCGATTGTTTAATATTAAGATTTTCCTGTGTTCTTCATGAGTTGTCAAAGAATGGTTAAAATCTTGTTTCCTTGACAATTATCAATTTCAGCATAGTTTCCAAGTTTGTTGTAAATATTCAATTCAATTACATTTCTAAATTTGGAATATTGGGTATGGAACTTGCAAAGCCAACTTCGCAAGTTAGGCACAAGTTGTGCTAAGTACTGAAGTACTCAATTAAAGTACTGAACATAAATTTGTAATTTGCAGTGTTTCACTTATATAGGCAACAAATTAAACATATTTCTTAAAAGCATTAAATAGTTCGTCAAATTTGTTGGCCATATATTTAGTAAAATACTGCAAATTGCATGTTTATGTTCAGGAGTAAAAAAAAATACCTGTTGTTCCGGTTTCATATCGTGAAAAAATTACGGTCGGTAGGTCGGAAATAATTTTTTTTTGAATATTTTTTCATGGTTTTGGCGGTTTTTTGCTGGGCGATTTGCAGTAGAGTCCCGACATCAATATTAACTAGAGATGCGTATTTCCTACGGACAAATTTAGGCAATTTGGTTCAATAATTAGTGTGACAACAATGCCATTTTGGCACTCTGTATGAGCAGCCCGCAACCACCTGGAGAAAATAGGGTCGCACGGTCAATCGCGTTGAAAAAATAATAGGGTCGGCAGAAAAAAATAGGGTCGGTCGGGAACCGGAACCACAGGTATTTTTTTACTCCTCAGTACTTTGGTACTTTAGTTCAGTATTCTGGTACTTTAGGATGCAACTTGCAAAGTTAGCTTTGCAAGTTCCATGCACAACACTCCAAATTTAGAAATCTAATTTGGAATATTCACAACAACCTTGGGAGTTGCGCTTCGAAAAATGATGTGAAATCGACAGTAATCAACAATGTTCTGTTTTGTTCACAGGACAGCAGTTACTTAGAAGGCATCATTGAAAATGGTGCTATAGTGGAATTTAATCTTCTCTATGCTGCGAGTGATGCACTTTCATCAGAACTTTTTAGTTCATTTAAAAGGTGGGGCCAAATTTTCGATGTAACAAATTAAACATATTTCTTAAAAGCATTTAATAGTTTGTCAAATTTGTTGGCCATATTAGTAAAATACTGCCAATTACATGTTTATGTTTAGTCCTAATTAAGCCCTCTCTTATAGGACCACCCCCTAAAATAGGCTACTTCCTTTCTTAGAGGAAGAAATTTTTTAAGCTCCCTTGTCAAATAAGCCTTAGTTTTAATTAAAGGAAGAAATTTATTAACCCTTTAATTGGCAATGTGCCCCCTACTTTATTATTTTACTCTCACTGTCTGTTGCTAAGTGATTTTACTTGTGATTTTACTAAGTCATTTTACTCAATGGGGGTTAACTTAAGCCTTAAGGGAGATATAAACCTACAGAGCCAGGGAATTGATGAGTTTGACTTCAAACTGATTTCAAACCAAGGTTAGAGGTTGGGTTTGAAGGAAAATTGTCCAAGGGAACATAGGTCCCTCCTGTCCCCCAGAGAGGTTCTAAGAGGGTTGGGATTGAAGGAAAATTGTCCAAGGGAACATAGGTCCCTCCTGCCCCCCTCCCCCCAGAGATGCTCACCAACAACCAAGATAGCCGAGGGGCACTTTGAGGCTTAATGAGTTACTGCACATGAATAAAAAATAAAGTCTTTTGAGAGAAGAAAAAAACGGCACTTGTACATGAAACTGAAAACTGAGTTCTGTTATTGTTTAGTTCAATTGAAAGTTATTTTGGTGCTGAACCTTTTGAAGAATTCAAAAAGAGCATGTTCTTTGAACGTTTTCTACAATGGAAATGTTTAGAAACGTAAGTTGCATCTATTTGTTAAACAACAGTATTTCATTGTATAGTACTAGTTGTGAAGACTAGGTTTTTTATTCTTCAGGCAACCTGTCACAAAGAAGTTATTTCGACATTATCGAGTACTTGGAAAAGGAGGTTTTGGTGAGGTAGGTCATGTTGTTAAGAAGAAAATGTCATGAATTTTTTGTGCTTTGATCAAATTAGTACAATATTCTACCATTTTGCAGGTGTGTGCGTGTCAAAGTAAAATCAGTGGTAAAATGTACGCAATGAAAAAGCTAGAAAAGAAAAGGATTAAAAGACGAAAAGGGGAAGCAATGGCCCTGAATGAAAAGCAGTTGCTTGAAAAAGTTGACTGTAAATTTGTGGTAAGTTTATTTTATAATTTGATCTACTTGTCATTGCAAGTTATTAGTTCTTGCCGTGCTGTGTTTAATAGGTTTTTTGTTTGACACATATGGCCATAAATCTTCTATTAAACCCTCTTAAAACGAATAACTCTCCCTCCCAAATACCCCCCTCCCAAATACCCCCTCCCAAATACCCTCCTCCCAAATACCCCACACACACTTGCACACACACTACACCTTCAAATAACCCAACACACCCCTCAATAAAATCTCATCCTGAAATGACCCTATTAATCCTGCTTTTATGATGAAGAAATTTATAAAGCCTTCCCTTTTTATCAAACCCCTCCTCTATTCATATACATGGATACTTATTTAGATGCCTTTATTAATTGATCTGGAAGTTTATGTTAATTTACTGTGTTTCTTGCTTATGGCATTTCAGCGAAATCAGAAAAATTCCACCCATTGTTAACCCTTTAAGTGGCAATGTGCCTTGATGCACCCTACCTTTTTAGTTTACCCTGTCTAATGCCAGAGGGGAGAGTGCTGCTACTCAATGGGCTAAACCTCCCACTACTCCAATAAGCCCCACCTTTCCAATATGCCCTCCCCTGGCCTTCAAATAAATGGGGGATATCTTGAGTGTGGGATTCTAGTGTACTGTAGATAGGGATGAATACTTTTCATGAAGTTGTTTGCAAATTTCTGAAAAATATAGAAAATACTTTGACATTTCAAGCAAACGCTCTTTAGTTTGGCAAATGAACTGTCTAATTTTTCTTATTTCTTTTCAAGGTGAGTTTAGCTTATGCATATGAAACAAAAGATGCACTCTGTATGGTTTTAACTTTAATGAATGGTGGTGACTTGAAATTTCATGTACATAATATGGGCAACCCTGGTTTTGAGGAAGATCGAGCATATTTCTATGCCGCTGAGGTCGCCAGTGGTATCATTGCGTTACACTCAAAAAGAATAGTTTATAGGTAAGCACAATCCCTGTAGTTCAATACACCCTTCCGGAAAGTTTTCAGTTTTGACTATTGAATCTCGTTTTGGTTATTGAGATTTTGAATTTAGAGCCTTATATGTTACACATTTACGAAATCATGCAATTATGTCAGTGAATATAAAAGACCTGTTTATAATCATGTCATCAGGATATTAGATAAAGTGCTCTAAAGCCAATGTCTCAATCATGGAAAGAAGCTCTATTCTGTGTTTGCAATGATGTGATTTTGGCATTTCAGTTGACGGGCAGGCACAACAAAAAACGGCTATTTTAACATATTGATCGAGTTTAGAGACAGTTTAAGACTCAAAAGATGAATTACTGTTCAGTTTTTCTTGCTTCAACCATTCTGGTAGGAGAAAAATCGTCCACAAGTTGTTTTATTGCCCTTCATTTGGATGAAAAGTAACGTGATTGCAAACAAAGAATAGCCATGGCTAGGGTGTCATAAGCACAAGCGTAAGAACAAAAAATTCACATGTGAACTGGTCGTATTAGAAGTTGTTGATCAGTTCAAAATTATCACTTCTTGTAGAGACATGAAGCCGGAGAATATACTACTAGATGATGATGGCCATGTCAGAATTTCAGATTTAGGTTTGGCGATTGAAATTCCCGAAGGAGAGAACGTCCGAGGTCGAGTTGGTACTGTGGGATATATGGGTACGATTGTGGATTATCTTTAGGATACTTTGGTTAGACGATAGATATTCTTAATGTAGTCATATGACTGAGTGTTGAACATGACGACTCGGGTGCATACTAGACAACGTACCGGAGGTTACGCCGATATTACAATCTTGTACTTCTTTGTTTTCAACCAAGTACCACTTAGGTACGCGGAACTCTTGTTATTTGCGTACTTACCCAAGGTATTCAACTCCGTAATTGATGATTCCCCTTATTACGTTTTCGTGGCGCTTTGCATTGTGGTTATAGTGATATCACTGATAAAAATAGCGGCCTCGAATGAAAATATTGAATGTTTTCGCGAATATTTTGCTGTTAGCTATCGCGCACCTGACCATAGCTTTTTTTAAAAGTTCTTGCACGGGTCAGGACAAAAAATAAGCCATTTTGAATATCAGTGATACCACTATAACCACAATGCAAAGCGCTGCGAAAACGTAATGAGGGGAATCTAGTATTTAGTTGGTTTATAATGTGCAAGTCTGACACATCTTGGCGTGAAACATGATTGGACTGATTCAAGCACTGTTCACTCATTTGACCTTTAGAACAGGGCATGAAACATGATTGTTTGTGTATGCAATCCTGCTTCTTGTTCTAACTCGTAGTTTGAAAACCTTTCCAAAACCTGTACTTTATATACGGTATGTTATTATGTCAGGTGGATTATAACCAGGAATTCTTGGTTAATAGTCCACCTAACATAATCTGGTTAATTCAACCATATGCCTGGTTAAATTAGCCAGGAATACGGTTAAATTAGCCAGGACTAAGTCAGGCCGATGTTTTAGATATAACATACAGTATTATTATATTACTTGGTTAATGCAATAACACGCAAGAAGCCAGGGTAAGGCGTAACTGTGGTTCAGGTTTCATATCGTGAAAAAATATTTTGAATATTTTTTTCATGGTTTTGGCGGGTTTTTTGCTGGGCGATTTGCAGTAGAGTCCCGACATCAATATTAACTAGAGATGCGTATTTCCTATGGACGAATTTAGGCAATTTGGTTCAATAATTAGTGTGACAACAGACGCCATTTTGGCACGCTGTATGAGCAGCCCGCAACCACCTGGAGAAAATAGGGTCGCACGGTCAATCGCGTTGAAAAAATAATAGGGTAAGCGGAAAAAAATAGGATCGGTCGGGAACCGGAACCACGGGTATTTTTTTTACGCCTAATGTCTAAAAGGGATGGACGAGAGAGGTAGTTCACGAGATGATTCCAAAATTGAAATAAGAGTTTGCGTTAGTATTAGAGTTAGTGTGGGGATTAGGGTTAGGTGTGGGGTGAGGGTAAGGTTTTTACGTTTTAATGATCTTAAAAACTTGCGGCCATCTTGAAAACCTTCCTCCAGTCCATCCCCTTCAGCCACGACCAAGAAGTCATGTCCATGATGCGTAAACCACATTTCCTGTGAGGCTACGATTTCTTTGGATACTGAAATGGTTATTTGTTCTATTTCAGCTCCTGAAGTAATCCAAAATGAACGTTACACGTTTTCCCCAGACTGGTGGGGTCTTGGATGTCTAATATATGAGATGATCCAAGGAAAGGTAAGTTCTACATGTATTTTATATGAATAACTCAATCATTCCAATTACAATATGCAGTTTTTTGATCATAAATTACTTTAACCGCCTGTTTTCCACTACACGCGCGCGAATGTGTTCGCGGAAAGAGAATCGAAAAACAGATTTCGGCAGTGTGATTGGTTAATGAATAAATTCCAGGGGTGGGTTGTACAATGTAGGACTTCAATGATCTGGGGTTTTTTTTTCACTTCACTTGCCGATTACCTATATATACAGTATGAACTTACGGTTACAGCTCAACAGCTGGCGTCTGTAGCTCAGTTGGTTAGAGCGCTGCACCGGAATCGCAGGGCTGTAGGTTCAATTCCTACCAGAGGACCTTGTGCTGCATTTTTCGCAGTCGTTCCTGGTCAGGTCTTAAAATGTATATATATACTCACTTGCATTACAAACCCTAAGAACAGTGTACAATGTAGCGCTATCTACCACTATCCGCCGGATAATTATTTTTTCAACTGTTATAAAAGTACTTGCAAAGCTGTAAAACTACGGATATGGACATCGCAATGAGTTTGTCGGTTAACCGAGTCAAATCCGAGCCCGAGTCACTGTTTAGCGGTCTTTGTAGTTCAATGACTTAGTACCCTAACCCTACTCCTAACCCTATTCGATTGTGAATTTTATTCAATTTCGTCTTTTTTTAACACGACTCGGTCGTTTGACTCGGGTTCGGAATTAACTCAGACTTGCATTTGACTTGGTACACTGCAAAAAACGCCTAGCCTGTAACATTGTTGTTGAAAACAGGCCTTTCTACAACCCAGTCCAGTGTTTTAAGTAGAGGTCATGCGCTAATTCTATATTCAAACTATTTCCAGTCTCCGTTCCGAGCGCGGCGAGAGAAAGTGAAACGAGACGAAGTGGAAAGAAGAGTCAAAGAAGACACTGAGGAATATTCAGATAAATTTAGTAGTCACGCACGACATATTTGTACACAGGTAAATACAAAACACGTGTCAAGATGCAGGCATTACTTGAGCACCGGTCACATGAGAATGATTTCGAGGGGACGATGAAAAGTCATACACCTCCCCTTGGGAAAAATGCAATGATAGATCAAAGTGAAAATTTCCCAATTTGTAATGCGCTAAGGCGCCCATTTCCACACCCCGGACAGAAAATGTTCCGAAAATATCATTGTTAAAAGTTGAAGATTGTCGGCCAATTGCATTTTACAAAATTTTTTTATGCGGAAAATTTTCCTGAGTGGAAATAAGCCTTTACGGTGTATATTTCGTAAGAAAGGTTTTCTGTTACATTGAAACAGTGATAGCCATTCATCTCTGTGTCATTAATGCAATGCTACCAAATTTCTCCATTAGCATCTGCTCATTACTATTAGTATTGCTTTGGTATCATTCCAAGTACGCTCCTGTTCATTCAAGCTATATGTTATTATTACTGGCCTTCCTCTCCATTCATTCATCTGATTTAATTCATAGCCATCTGTAGCCTGATACATTTTCTCTTCCTTAAATGCGGGTGGATGGAAGGGAAAAGAGGTCTGACACAAATCCCTGTCTAAGTGGATGTAAAAAAGCCAAAATCCAGCTTTTCACCTGATCTGTCAATTAACCAAAAAATGTTTTCACATAAAAAAATTTTCTCTCTTTGATCTGTCTTTTGATCTGTCTTTTGATTGGTTAGTGCTAATTACATTATACTATTGTTCGTGATATATTTAGTAATTTCAACTATAAATAGATTGTTATTATTCTGTGAAAATGACATTTCCCGTCAGAGTACTGAGTGATCAAAGGAATTTTTAATTTTTTTTGTTCAAACAACTATAATATGTCTTTCTGTAGTTACTTTCTAAAGATCCGAAGACGCGACTTGGGTGTCGTGATGGAGGTTGGGAGGAATTAAGAAGGCATCAGTTTTTCAGGAATATTAATTGGGCGCAATTAGAAGCTGGTCTTATAAAACCGCCTTTTGTTCCTGATGTAAGTTGAAAATTACAAGTACTAATGCCTGTTTCAGACTCCACTCGCGTGCCGAATTTAATTGCACTAGATGCGATTCTGAAGCGACGTGGGGGCGGCAATTCGGACGTAAATGAGGGCCTGCCACGCAGGCTATTCGGACGTAGAAAATGTCAACGTTGCTAGAGACCCTAGAAATGTTCTATGAAATTCGCAATATTCAAACAAAGGAATAATTTAATCCTGCGGTTGCAATGGTAAACCAAAGCTCTCTTTACGTATTCTATAATACAACGCCCACATTTCAAGCCACGCAAGGTGGTACTCAGGAAATTGGTTTGTGCTAAAGCAGAAATCTTCTCAAGCATGAATCCCCTCCATTTACATCCTTAAACTCCGTTAAACTCATACGATTGATGATACTCGAGAACTTTTTTTTCCCAATAATTTGAATGAGTTTGTTTCGGCCGTCGTCGTTACGTTGCCTTCCCACATTGTAAGATCTCTATGTCGCTGCAATTAGCACTATTTTCCATCCAGCAAACTGACCTGACGTCATTTTCGGAAGATGGAAGAGGTGTTAAATGGTTATGTAACAAACCCTACCCCTACTCTAACCGCAACCCTAACTCTAACCCTATAGAATTAATAACAAAAATCAACGACTATAGAAAATCGATAGTGCGGTTTGCTGGATGGAAAATAGTGCTAACCCTGCAACGTCCCAGCTGGTGGTAGGATATTGCTTTTCGAAATAAAAAATGGATATGATAAGGAAATTGCTGCACCCCTTGTAAATCCACCTCTGCCCATACCTACTTGAGAACTAACAGTGGGGAAATCACGTCTGCGTATGAAAATTTCGTTTTCTTACTAGTACAACCTAGCACGTTTTGATAAATATTTTCATTTCCACGTAGCCTCGCGCAGTATACTGTAAAGATGTCCTCGATATTGAACAGTTCTCATCAGTGAAAGGAGTAAGACTGGATGATAATGATGAAGGATTTTATCATAAATTCTCGACAGGTTCAGTCGCTATTCCCTGGCAAACAGAGGTAACGTATGTTTTTGCGAGACAGGTTGCTCATACTTGCACTTAAATGCTCACACTTGCAGTATAGAAACATGTTGGTTAGGTCTAAGTAAATGTATAAAAATTCCACTCGAAGTTTTCATATACAAATTCCTTCAACACTTAACAATTATTCGCCGAAGGCGAGTTGATTATCGGGGTGATTATACTAATTAGTTATATCCAGTGAGATGCTCAAAATCCTGTTTATTTACCCATACACCTTACATTGACATCACCTCAGTATTTAAACATGAACTTGTGGTTAGAGCTCGACAACTCACTGTCTCTCTGTAGCTCAGTTGGTTAGAACGCTGCACCGGAATCGTAGGGCTGCTAGCCTGTGTGGCAGGCTATAGGGTTATGTGCAGCCACGCAGGCTATATGCAGGCTACAGGGCTGCAGGTTAGACTGCTTCCTGGGTAGGTTTAACAAATGTATAAAAATTCTACTCGAAATTTCCATCTACAAATGCCTTACAATGACTACACGTATACCCTGTATAGGAAACTAAGCTATTGCAGGATAGTCCCAGCAGGAAATCAGAAACTGGTAATCAGTCATCAACGGGTCCACAGGGAAAGAAACACACGGAGGGGTTTCCCCCCCCCTCGCAATAATTGCCGAAACGCGCGCGCAATCGAGCGCCTTTCCGGGCAAAGCCTGCTGATAGTAACTAAGTTGTAATATTTTTTTAAAGCCATCAAAGCTTGTTAACCTTTCATTTTTAGCAATCTAAATTTGCACCCCCAATATTTGCAAAGTGTTTGTACTGGCAAAATACAATACTGAATTAAATTCTGCCTATTTCTTAGATGATCGAAATGGAATGTTATAAAGAACTAAACCTATTCGGTCCAAATGGAACGAGGTCGCCCGATCTAATTGGAGATCACCCCCCGGAACCTGAGAAAAATCCCGGATGTCTCAGTAGTATGTGTGGTGGGAAATCAAATAATACGGTAAGGCGAATGTCCATTTAAAGTTTTACTTACATTGGGGATTTATGAATCTATGAATCTCAGCTAACCTTTTTATTGTGAGGTTGTGAATTAGGACCGAGCCTTGTGTAGCTTCTGTACGACTAGGGGTCATGTGAGGATTATTCTACTACTCTCTTTAGATAAGGCGCTAAAAAAATAACTTTGTCTTATTTTAAAGAACTTTTAAAGTTATATATGAAGACCCTTTACAACTTTTTCGTACTTTGCTTGGTTTTCGAAATATTTTGATAAAAAGCAGTGTGCAGTTCGCCATCTTGGTATTATAATTGACCTAATTAACTGAGTTTCTTAATTGTAATGTGTCGAAATGACGCATGTTCTTTGAAACCTACCTATAACGGAAGTTTTGCATTTTTTTACACAAGAAATTTTTATTTTTGGATGTTGCTGCCAGGAAGTAAAAATATATTTTATAGGCCTAGATGCGCCGGCCAAATTTGTAAACTGAAAATGAAGAAAATTTTCAGTTTGAATAGGGGAATTCTTCAGAGTAATCAGTTGCGTGGACACGCGAAGAAAATTTGATGTACATTGTATTGTACCCCAAGCCTCACGATGTATCCATAGTCTGTCAAGATATGATGGATTGGAATGGAAGCCCGGCAAATTTCAAAGTTACAAATAGAAGATTTGAGATTCATCTCGAATCTTTTGTATCAACTTCATTAAATATTATTCATCGTTGTTGCACGTTTCATCTCAGCTATCCCTATTGGACGATTACTTCAGCAGTAGAAACACCAGGCGGAAATCGGATTCTAGTTAAAATATTATTGCCCAGCAAATAACTCGTAAAAGAGGCATATTCCAAAAGCATTTGGTATATAAAAAATATTTACGTTACTCAACAAATATTTTTTATATACCAAATTTTTTTTAAATGCCTCTTTTACGATTACTTCATTATACGAAAAAACATTATAAAAACATAACACATTGACTTCTGTTTAGTTTCCATCATATCTTGATATAGACTGTGGTGTGTCCGCCAGCACCAGCGGCTACGCTAATGGACCATTTGCATTATAGACTAAATTTTGATCTAAACTAGTCTAGACCAAAATTTCATCACAGCTTGAAAGAGCATCACAAAATTAGTAATATTCCAAAGTTTCGTTGCGAAATGTTGTAAAATGCGGATAATATAGCCTTGCGAAGTTTGCCGTTTTTCAGTCATTTTGCATTACGCGGGGGAAATTGACAGCCCAATACCTACCCAATACCCTTTGGAGCTGTCAATTTCCCGTTTGTAATACAAAATGACTGTAAAAACGGCAAACTTCGCAAGGCTATATTATCCGCATTTTACAACATTTCGCAACGAAACTTTGGAATATTACTAATTTTGTGATGCTCTTTCAAGCTGTGATGAATGTCTAGACTTGTTTAGTTAAAAATTTAGTCTATAATACAAATGGTTCATTGTCACGCCAGAAAACTGAGGATTCAACGTCTGAACATTCACATAAAATAATTTCACAAGCCGATGTAGAGGCGAATTCGAGCACAGCTAACCATGCCCTCGTGAACAAATGGAATCGGACGAATTGTTGCATGATTCCGAATTTCTCCGCTCTCATTGAACATGGTCTGAATAATTTCACGTGCATATATAAGTGAATCCATTTTGTTCTAGACAGAAGCGACAGAAACAACAACCACAACAATCAGTTGAGAGTCCACCCACACCTTCGCCACCATAGTATGCAATGTACAGACGGGTCGTAATTTATATGGTGGAAATATTTTTAATTCCGACCAAAATACGTGGATCAGACAAACAAGCTATACGAAAACTCGAAAACTGAGCACCAAGATTTGCAAATTACTTAAGGCTGGTCCAGTAAAAATCTCGTAAATATTAGATACAGAATATGTGTTTTTGTTGCACATGTTTTAGGTATTTGGCTGTACTGCATGCGCATGCTTGAACCCTTTTTATGTCTGGTTTCTATTTTTCAAGTCATATTTGACGATGTGAAATAATCTGGACCCATCCTTTTTTTCTGTGCTGCATTTATTTCAATCTTGTACACTCTTAATACGATACAGCCTTTGGGTTGACATATGTAGTGAAATCCATTTCCAGTCGACAATTTTTAGAAATAGAAACTCAAGAACAAAACGTACTCCCAATTCTTGACTTGCAACTTAACCCTAGAATATTGAAAAACATTAAAATGTCGGCCATGTTGGTGCCAAATTCAATGAAAGATAATGAGATTCTTTTGTTGAAATACCACTAACATGGGCGCCCGCACAAGTAGTTGAAGTCAAGAATAACAGCATCTTATGCGGCGAGCTCTCAAGATATGTGTCAACAACAAGAAAATACGATAAACAGTAATAGTTGGGTTTTATTTCAAAATCATCACAGTCCAGGCGCCCAACAACGAAAATGGACGCCCAAAATTCTGGGGGAAAGGTTGATCAACGTGATGGTGCATGTACCTGGTTGAGTAAACGTTTGAACAATCTCGAATGAGCTTTAGTAGGCTAGGCTGAAAAGATACTGACATGAAGTAACGTAAACCTCTAATACTGTTTAAGAGTCTCAGACCCAAACTTCAAAGATTTTCTTCCCCGCTCCCTCTAATATGTGCATGTGTCATTATACCAAAATTGGACATCCTCTTACAGGATCCTGCCTACTCTATTTACAAAGTAAACTGATATATTTATTTGCGATCCAGGAACGATAACACCATCAAGTAACAAAGACATATTTATAGAAATCATTAGCACTAATGACCGGAAAGAATGGTATGAGAAGAAAGTGAGATGGTAGCAAAGCGTTATGGAAACAGAATAAGATCTTTGTTTTAAGACCTGCGATGGAGTTTTGAATTTGATGTGTAAGACAAGACTTCCATGAAAAGTAGTTTTAGATGTTACAGCATTTGAAGAGTAGAGACGTTCGTGTTTATAAGGTTGTTAAAGTTAGTCGTAACGTCGTTTGTATCTTCTTAATATTGAAACAAAAACACATTATTCGGACTGAATCAACTCGAAAGGTAATGATCAAGATGAATTACCTAAAATTTGGCTCAGATTACCACTTTTAGGCACAAAAGGCGACAATTTAGTTAAAACATGCATGAGAAAAAAGCTTCGTTGGCATTCAAAAGTTCAGGTCAATTTTACAGTCATTTATGATATTAAATAAATGCCAAAAATTATATATTTCACATAAAGCGAAGAAAAAATTCCGGAACTTTTGCGGCACAACTAAAGCCGGTGTCCTAGCAGATTTGGACCCCTCGGTCCAAATCCGCTGGAACTAATTAGAAAAGACAATGAAAAATTCCGCCTAATGGAAAACCGGCTTTAGTCTATGAAATTAACTGCCCCGGTTGCTATTCTAAACATATAGGAAAAACGGAAAGACGCTTAGATGTAAGGCTTTCGGAACACTATATTCCTGACAAAAGTGCATTTGGTAATCATCTCACTAACTGTGAACAAGCACAACACATTAACCTTCGCAATCTCGATTATTATTATTCTCTTTGACAATATTAACAAACTCGAAGATGCAAACGATGTTACGACTAACAATGCACAACCTTATAAACACAAACTTCGAAATGACGAAATGATCTGCTCTTCAAATACTGTAACATCTGACAAACTAGTTTTCATTTCAGCCTTAGACATCAAATTTAAAAATCCGTCGCTGAACATTGGTCTTAAAGGCTAAAGCAAGGATATCATGCTGTTTCCATAACGCTTTGCTACCATCTCACTTTCTGCTCATACCATTCTTCCGGTCATTAGTGCTAATGATTTCTATAAATAAATCTCTTGTTATTTCATGTCATCGTTCCTGTATCGCATAGAAATATATCAGCTCACTTTTTAAATACAGTAGGTTTGATGATTTTGAAAGAAAATCGAAACATTGTATATCGTGTCTTCTAGTTGGTACTGTAACTCGACCACACAAGATGCTATTCGGAGTATCTTTTGTTTATGTATAGTCTATATGGGGAATGCACTGTAAGAAAATATAGGAATTGCATTCAGAATTACTTTGAAGAAAGCGCTCACATGCACTTGTAGCAAATCAATACAGTCACGCATTCTGTATCTAAAGACTTGTTCAAACGAACTAGTTTATCGTATCCAATTCTCATGCCCAACCGAGTAAGACTGTTAGAGCTATAGCCATAATTGACAGTAATGAACCTTAGAGGTGCCACGTCACGTGATTTTTAAACGATGAATTATTGAGTCAAAAGTATTCCACAATGCACTGTGCATTCCAGAAGTCCTCTGTAATACAAATTGCGTGACGTAAGCACTTCTAAGGTTTATTCTGGATATAGATTCGACATTGTCTGTATGGGTTAGGGTGTTGGGTTAGTATCAAGGTTGGTGAGAGATGGTTAGCAATCAAACATGAATCTATAACCATATTTCTGGTTCGTGACAGGAGCCTCTGCAGTGCTTTCTCGCATTAATACGTTTCTTTGGCTGTAGAGCCTCGTTTTAGTTATTTAGACGATAGGTTTTAACTAATTTCACATACACGAAAACGAGACTCTATTGGCAAAGTGACATACTTTCCGGAAGGGGGTGTATTGGATTCGGCAAATTGGTTGGTCTGAACATGTCTTCATAGACATCCTCAACTTCGTATTCAAATTGCCCGATGTTCACATCTTTTATAATTCTTTTTATTTATGTATGATATTCAATGTAAAATGTATGAATTGAAAGAGTGATACAAGGTATAAACATAAACTGGGGGGTTGCCAGCATGACAGACGGTAAATTGGCGAGTGAAAATGGGGGTACTTTGCATACGAAGCTGAAGAGGTATATGGACACTTGATGAATTTACATGATCGTACATGAAACAATATGTGAAAGTCAAGGTTTCCTTGGTGACGGTTACAGTCGCCACGTTACAAGTCATGTCTTGGTAATAGCGAGCTTAAACAAGCGACGCTTTGTCAACAAGGACATCAGTTGCCGAGGGGGGGACAGGATTAGAAACTGTGTTTGTATCAGTTTGTGGTCACTTCAACCATAGCATATCGAAGGGGAGATGGCTGTGAAACTCATTAGAATAACAATATAACTCGTTATCTATGTTGGTCAACGTTTATTCATAAATTTAGTCCTTCACCGTCACGTGTGTATTGTATTCTTGCCCAACTAACCAATAGCAATGTTTTAGGAAAGTCACCTATCCGTGACTCGAACAATAGGGAAACTGGAAATTGCTATTGGTGGATTTGGCAGAAATACAAATACACACGTGACGGTGAAACGACCAGATTTATGAATACACGTTGACTAACACAGATGAGTTGTATTGTTATTCTAATGAGTTTCACAGCCATCTCCCCTTCGATAGTCTATGCTTCAACATATAACAAAACATAAGATTTTTAAAGTTCTTTTTTTTGCTTTCTTACACGAGCACTATGAGGCAAAATGCCGCCAAAATTAGTTATACTAATTTTCGGGTGATGTCCGTGTTGAAAAAAAAACGTCGCTTCCTCAAGTTAAATAATAAATGCTTGACATGTACCAATGTATCATTAACCGTTAGCTTTTTAATGGTGATTGGTTAGGAAAAAAATACGTATCCTCCTTGATTTCTCAGCTATTGTTTCATGTGCGTCTTAGCAAATTCTAAAAGTGACTATTATATTTTCTGGCTGGTCCATCGTTGGCATTGATTGTACAGTTATAAAGAACAAATTTGAAGCATTTTAGAATATATCTTGTTAGTGTTTTATTATTGACAGTATCAATGATTATTTACTATCGTTATTATCATCGCCATTAATTGTTATCATCATCACCACCAATACCACCATCACCTAGTCATCACCATCACCACAACCATATTAATATACGACTTATTGTTGATAGCGGAACCAACATTCGTATAGAAACGGACTCCCTCGTATCTATGCCCATGACCCTAAATCGCGGATTGTCCATGGCAGGAAGCATTTTTCTGACCACTATGTGAATTCACGTCACGTTACGTGTAGTTTCAGAATCTGTAGTTCTACAGAACGAGGGACCTTCGCCAATCTTTCGACACACCGAAGGATCAGGGCATGACAAGCCACCCTGAAGAAGCATGGTATTCTGCAGAATACTCCAAAATTGCCACAAGAAACAATCAAATATTTTGGATAATATCACAGAGCACTCGTGCTGCACGAAACGTGAAACTTTCAAAGCACGTCTGTATCAAGATAGCCCTGGAAAATAAGGAATTGTGAATAGAAATAACAGAGTACCCATTAAAGAGAAGAAATTGGGAAATTATTTATATAAGCTGGTATAGCAGTTAGTGGCAAGCGTAACTGCAAAATGTTCAAGATACAAACATAAAGATTAAAGGTAAAAACACCATTCAAATAACCATTGTACGTAGAAGTGGAGCTGCATACAGGTATAGAACGTAAATATTGTTTATATTTTGTATTCACCTTGCATAATATTTGTTGCTTCCATTCGTCAATGGCGAGTGCAGAAACTGTCCTTACTTTAAGTAAGTTTCCATCGTCCTCTAATGCGTAATGAAATGAGAAGAATATATTTGCAGCTAAACCATTCACATTACCTAAATCTTGAACAGATCGCTACAAAAACACTTGTATCCCTGACAATATTTTGAAGCTTGATAACTAATTGTACTCCATTTTACACTGTGTTTTTAACCTTTTAAATACTTTTCAGCAATGGAGTAATGCTTTTAAATTAACTTGTTTTAATTATTGTAAAATTTGTGTAATTCCACCTACTGTACGGGTTGCAAGCCAATTTTATGAAACGATCTATATCTATCATTCTATCTACATTTACTGCATAAAGTAATCTATTCTTGAGATACTGTAAATAATGGTTACACAATGAAAACTTTAATATTACCAGATGTTATTGGACTTTCTCTATCAAATTCTTCTAGAGATTTTTCAACACAAAGCCTTGCTTTTCTTTTGAAATCTTCTAAATTTTCATTTAGGCTGGGAAAAAAGGGAGCATAGTTTACAATGTGATGTTGAAATTGGCAAAAGTGATCCGTAATGTTTTGATGGATAATGGGAACCGTATGCATGGTGTTAAAGTGGTTTTAAATACCCCCAAGAGTTGCTGAAATAACTTAATATTTTAATGTCAGTGCGCAATATATATGAGCGTATGCTCGCCTTGTATTTGGTTGCAAAGCATAGAACAACCACAGGCATTGTCCATTGTTGTAGAACCGTGAATTTGGCTATTCAAGGTAATTGACATGTGCACACCCTAATCATTTAGAAACACGCCCAAGATCTAAAATCCTAGCTAAGACCTTGGACTACGAGGTTAACGCTCTACCGAAAGTGGTTCTCCCACAGGGAATGTTGTTGACAGGGGTGGGTACTTGCGATTAGTCCCTAATTGACCCTTCCACCGTAGCTGTGATCCAGGCCTTAAAATATCGGTCGGTCACGGACATTGTCCGACCCATTCGTGAAATTGTCCGACGTAGAAAGAAAACCACCGGACATTCTGTCCGACCTAAGTGAAACTGAGGGTTATTGTTTGTCCGACCTGAGTGTATTTGTGTTCGACCGAACTGTTGCTTTGTCCAACGTAAATCAAAATGTACCCTAGCCCAGGACTAGAGGTTTGTATGTTAAATGGAAAGTCAGAGTACTATTGTATAAAAGGTGAACTGGAAGTGTTGTTTTAACGTAGTCGAGCGCGGAGAGGCGAGCGAAATGGTGAAGTGGAAAACAGGCTTAAGTTGTCGAAGTCTTTTTTAATGCTGCTGTTCTGGAAAGCAAGTTAATTTTAGCTTGGGAATAAGTATGAAAGAGTAAGTATGAAATTTCTTCACAACATTTACAGTACAGAATTAATACATTGTCATTCAGACTTATTTCCAAGTCAAAACTGAACTGAAGGTCATCGGACATATGTCCGACCCAAACTCAATGTCATTGGACATTTTGTCAGACGGCCCTGTGAAAGATGTTTTATGGCTGCCTGAGGCGCTCTTAGAAAGTCTTCAACTCAATCCGGTTGAGTTGTGTCCCTCTCAATTCAGCTTAACTCTTCGACAGCAAGCAAGGACGATGGATTAACACACCCCAACATATTTGCTAAATAATTTTCCGCAAATGTTTCCGCAACACAACCTCGTTCCCAGGCTCCTTCCTCTAGCGTAGTACACGCGTAAAAATTGATCAGGTTGTTCGGCGTTGTTCATTGAACAATGCCTGAACAATGTTGTTATCATGGTTGAACAACGTTGTTCAAGCAACAATCGTTAACAACATTGTTCCAACAACTTGTTCACGCTTGATGAACGAACAACATGATGGAAGCAACATGATAGATGGAACGCGGTTGTCCGCAATAATGCTACCAAGTTCGGTTCGCTTAGGGCCTACATTGGAATAGTACTTAGTAATTTTAGAGTAACACCAGTTTCTTACCAAGTTGCTGCTTCTTCATTCAAGGCTCCCCCTGTGTTCATGGAATAGAAACAACTTTTCACATATTTTAGCATATCACTAAAATGCAATGAAAAGTATCATGAAGTCAATAGTTTAAACCCTCCCTACTCCTCTCCTACCAAAAAAAGTATAAGACCCACAAAGTATAACAATTTCCTACCCTATATGATTTTCGTTATTCCAACAAGGGAACGCTTGTTCAATGTTTAATATCCTTAAAAACAGAACATGGCATTGATATTGTGTATAAAGTTACCTTATTGTCCCTTTGGTTTGTGAAAACACGTATAATTATTATTGCAACGCTTTCGACCCGTAAGGTAGGATCTTCATCATTGCTAATAATATATGACTTGTGTAACTAAATCCACACATCCTTTTCTACACTAAAACTGTAAAAGTGTCCCTTTACATGTACGTATAATATACTAAATTTACCTTCAAACTTCTTCAAACCTTAACAAATAAGTTAAAGTTTTTCTTACCCATTCTTATGGATCTGTGGATGAAAGATATGACTTGTGAAGCGGATTAATGGAGCAGCATTTGGAAAACTATGAATTGAAGAATTAAAATAATTCGTCGATCCGTGGGACCGTTGAATTATACTAGTATCATTACATTGCGTAGAATTCCCAGTGTAGGGCGGTAAACGTGGGTGGGTGGGTGTGTTAGTTAATAACTGTTCTTTTGTGGTTTGCGGGTTCGGTGCACTCTTGATGTAGGTCTTCGGTGAAACAATTTCTTTTGCGGGCGGTTGTAAGCTTGTGTAAGTTGTGTTCAACTCAAATGCAGTTATACCTAATTAATCAAGTTCCGTTATTGTCGGAGAGGTACGCAACGAACAAGTGAACGAAATTAAAGGTGCGCAAAATTAAAAGTGCGCAAAATTAAAGGTGCGCAAAATTAAAGGTGCGCAAAATTAAAGGTGCGCAAAATTAAAGGCGCACAAAAATCAAAAAGGCACAAATATGAAAATGAAAAAGAAACCTATCCTGTTGTTTTGTTAGTTCTTGCTGTGACGAAAAAATCCAATTGGAATTTTGGAATGGTAATAATTGGAATTCGGGTGAATTTCCAATTGAAATTCCTACTGGAATTCCAATTACCAGTTGGATTTTATTAATCAATTAAGGATGCAGCTAGTAACAATATTTTAACAATGCCAACCATTAACTGATATTTTGAAAAATGCATAGTTTATGTTTACATACTTGTCTTGAAATAAAATATCAAATCGGAATATTCCTTCACGAAAAGGACCAGCTCTTAAACATATTATTCCATGCCATACTACAAAACAAGTAGAAATGAGATTAAAACTAATTTTTGTTGCTATCTGCTACTGGAAATATGTGGCAAGCATTAGCACAAATCTCTTTTTACATAACATTCAGCACAGATAAATGAAAAACTTGACAAACAGATTGAGGAATGCTATGATGTAAGAGCACCCCTCTACAAGCACCCTAACATGACTTGAAATCCCAACTTGATATTAAGGGACTCCCAAAAATTCAGGCCCTTTTCCTTATTAGTAGCCTTGAGAATCTCCAATTGCTTGACTAGTTGAAGTTGTTTTTTTGAGGGGGGTGAGAGCAGTGGCGGAAATCTCGGGGGGCGGGGCGGCCGCCCTTCATGGAAAATTGATGAATTTTCGGAAATTTTAACCTAAAAGAGGGCTAAAAACAGTCTTTTCAAGTGCAAATGGGGTGGGTATGTCGGAAATTTGAAAGTTTTGACGGAAATTTAGGAGGCTGCCCCCCCCACTGGAAAAAGTGAATTTCCACCATTGGGCGAGGGGGGGGGGTGTAATCAAAAGCTCATCAATCTTGAACATTTGGGGTTGGACTAATCCATTGATTGCTTGAAACCTGGTTGCTAATTTGGGTGTAGTTTCCTGTATGCCAGTACGTAGTGGTGTATGCCGGTACGTAGTGGTGTATGCCAGTGCTTGACAAGTTACAGTTTTACTCTGTCTGACAAAACATCACAAAAGACTATTTTATTTGTCAAGAGGAGAAAGTTGTTGGATATTAATGGCCTATAATGAATATATAATTTAGAACATATTTGTACCTTGAAGGGTCTTTATTGATGGTATTACATAAACTCCTCCTGGAGGATTTTTACACAGGTATTTGCTGAAAAAATAACATATGAAATATTGCGAATTAGCAAGTTTATTTTTACCAAAATTTTTCATTCTGTCCATGTCCCTAGGGAAGGGAGGTGAAGTGGAGCCCTGTGAAGCTTGTATATCAGAGATGCATCAAAAGTAGCAATCTATTCCAGAATATAGAGCTAGGCAATAGCTTGGGCCAATAGATGTAGATTATAGTAAATTATTATATCGATGCATCCCTAGGATTGGCACCCACCTTGCAGGCTTTGATGCCCTGGAAATTAACTGATTAAGTTGCATTGCACCCTAATGTGCCCTACTTTATTGTTTTACTCAGTCTAACGCTAGACGATTTTACTTGTCAAGGGAAGAGTACTGGTGGTCAATGGGTTAAAACCGCTATGACGCCCTTTTGGCTTGCACCATCATTGGAAGCTCCTGTATCAAACAGATTTATGGAAGTTATGGTCACATAATGATTAATTTGAAACTATAGCCTGCAATGCAGGCTCTTCGTGTAGGCAGGCTCTTCAGGGCCAGGCAATTAAATTAATATCACAAATATTTGCTTCCATTCATTCAAGTTAATAAGTATAAAATTGATAAATATTACAAATACATTACAATAAAAAGGGAAATTTATCCTGTGTCAATGCATGTAAAATCGTTAAGTCAACTGCAGTATAATAGGATACACTTACAATTCCATTAATATATCGTGTTCTTTGAAGTAACTAGAAAAATCTTCATAAACCACATCTTGTACTAAATTTTGATTTTCATTGTCACCTAAATTAACCTCATAGCTTGCTGAGCGTTTCATTGCTTTGCCAGGATGTCCAAATAACTTTTTAGTCTCCCTCTTGATTTTACTACTTAACCCAAAAACCCTCGCTGGTTTGTTTGGCGATGAATCACGCGGCGATTGAATGTCCGCACTTTCCGATTCATTGTGATTATTGAAAATACCCTTTTCATCTTTTGAATTTAATTGCGCTTGAATATCTTCCGTCGATGGCATCATTTAAATATTTACTTATTCTTTTGTAAATAGCCCTAAGGATATATATTATTTCTTGAAAGCGCGTGAATTTATAATTTCATTTCCATCGTCAATGATCCGTGAACGTTGTTTTCATATTTGTCTTGTCATATCCGTAGTCAAATATTTGCGAAGTATTTTACAGTAATACCCTTTGATCGAAATTCTCTACAGTAATATTTTGAGTTAATCATCAACCACGTAGATCAAATTACCAGTCAGACCAAATCGGTCGCCTTTGATACAAGGTGTAGTCGAAGTTAATCAAATTTCAGAAATAAATTTGTCATTTTCTAAGCTCTGGCTTGTGTTTGAGTATAATAAATAATTGATTAGCCATTGTCACTTTATCATTGCACAAATTTGGTAATTTCTTGTACAATATTTCTCCTGTCACAATTCTGTTACGTTTTTCTTCTATTTTTCCATAACATATGTAGCATTTTTATTCTAATGGTTTAGAGTTGCAAATATAAACATCGATTATCTTTAGTGAAATTATAGTTGAACAGGATGGTTGTAAATTAGCATAACATAACATGTGGGTCCTGTAATAAAAACAATATATTACAATAATAAACTAATAAAGTGATATTTGGAGTTAATTATTTTGTTTTAAATTTATTTTTTGAATAATTCTTGGATTTCTTGCCAAGAAAAAGAACGAAAAAGAACAATAAATAAAAATAAAACAAGCAAACACTAGTGCCAATCTTCTAGCAAATACTCGATTGCTCGGTATCCAATATGGCGACCGCTGTGGATGAAACTGCAGCAAATGCTGCTTTAACAAA